GTTCTGTTTGGTGGTGTGCCAAAAGGCAAATGGGCAGCTTAGACTGTAAGTGTGTCAGTCGATCAATTTAAATAATTTAAATGCGGCTTAGGTTTGCTATATCTACAGATTTTTTACAGGGTTTCGCATAATATTCTTTGTGGCCTTGCAGCAAATTTTTTTCTCTTTATTTATCCTGACTAAAAATGACAATGGTTGTAAAAAATAAAAATTGCAAAATAAATTTATAAATAAAATTAAGATGTCCTATCGAATGCGAAAACTATTTTATATATCATCAACAAGTCAGCTAAGCAGATATAATTTTAAAAGCTGCACTATAGATAGCTCTCTAGAAAATAACTTAATTGAATGGATGACCTATATAAACCTGCTCGTATTTTTATAATTCAGAGCACCCCCGTTTGTGTAAACCTTCAGCAATCGATTTCAAGCAGATCCTTAATATCCTTTGAGACAACGCCTAGCGGCATTTGACTTTATTGGTGGTTGCTATTGTGCCTCGCTGACCAGAACACCCTTTGACCTCAAGCAACTCATCAGACTCAAGTTTAATTGTTTGTTTTCTTAGTTTATTGAACTGCGGCCGACGTTCGACTGACAACTGACAACTGGGCAGTAGGGAGTGGGCAGTGGGCAGCACTTTAGTTGATGCACTTAATGTCCATAGCGTGTTTTTAATGGCCATCAGTTTGTCTGGGACTTTAATTAACTCGCTTAAAGCCCACTGGGCAGCACATGAGTCTTTCTAATTTATAACCAACTGGCAAGACGCGTCCAACGCCAAAGCAAATCCTAAAGTCGTTTATTTGTCCTTGCTGCCAAACCATTTTATTTATTTTGCTCGCGTCGCGTCTTGTGCAAAACACAGGCTAGTACGCTGCTTCCTGCCAGAGTGTGTGTTTGTGGGTGGGGATTGTTATTCTCAGGCTCAGGGGCAACTAAAAACCCATAACTATATGTTTTTCTGACACATTTTTAAAGTACGCCGCAAGTCGCATGCAATTTATTGTTATTGCGTTTTGTACTCGTTTTTCTTTTTTTTCGCTGCTGTTATTTTTCCCCCATTTTCTCTCTTACTCTCTATCTCTCTCTCTCTCTCTCTATATATATATATATATATATATTTATCTGCTTTTCGCAAATCCAAGGACTTTTTGTTGTACATTTATGTTAACCTAATATGCTTGTAATTGCCAGCTAAAAAAAAGAAAAAGAGAAACAGCTCCAAAAACTAGAACAATACATGGTTTTGATGTTGTTTGTTATTTTTGTTTATTTATTTTTCTTTTCTTTTTTTTTTGCTGTTGATTTTGTTTTTGTTGCTGCTGGTGTATGCCAGATACAGATGGTTAGTGAAAGTTTCGAAAACAAGGACGCAAACTAACGGCACTGTTGTCCATTGCCTGTCCTTTTATTATATAAACATTATAATGTCCTCACCGAAATGGAGAATATCCATGTTCTTATTATGTTTGGCTGGAGATTAATAAAATCTTTTTATATTTATATCAAACCAAATTCCATGGATTGGTGAAAAAAATAAGCTCAAGGATATAGAGAGATATAGAAAATGTATATTTTATTTACAATAAATATTATTAATTATAACTAATTCAACTCAATTTTTTAAATTTCCTACTCGTTGAGTTATTTATTTTTTAATGAAATCAAGATAGCCTTCAGAATGTGTAGTCAATCACAAATCTTAAAATCAATTAACAGGGTATATACTGGTCATGGAAATGCTAGAAAAAACACTCCCAGTTTTGTGTTATTTTATTTTGGAAAAGCACTTTTGTTCGCTTTAATTTGTTAGTCAGCTTACAAATTTTTACGACGCGTTTTAATTGACGCTGATTCTGCGCCAGTGTCCATATGGCAGTGTTTTATTTTACGGAATATTTTGCGTAACCAAATTTATGTGAGTCCAGTGTGTATAAGGGAAATGAATTGGGTTAATAGTGGAGGCTTTTAAGTTAATGGCTTGGAGTTAAATCATATTCAAGTCAGTTAAACGGAGAATAAAAACAATTCATTTTAAAACGAAGATAGCTAATCGCTAAACACATATCAATCGGCCAATTGCGAAGACAGCAAGCAGATACATATTATATGTACAGCAGTGAAGTGGGGAATTTGGTAGATGGGGGTAGGGGGGGCCTTACTATGTTTCAACCCTCAGGAAAACCTCGACACGTGTCAGTGTCGCTGTCAATAGATGTCAAGAGCATAGAAATAGAAATGGAAATCCTACCCCCAGCCATAAACTGCCTAGACAAGCCTACTTAACTACTCACTCAACAAGCGACACTCTATCCATGTTGCAACTGCGTCGTCATATACACACATTCATCGCATGACAGCTGAAAATTAAACCTTTCACTCAACTCAAATTCAATTGTTGTTGTTGTTGCGTCTTGCGAAATCGAGATCTATAACGCACGAAATCAGAAACTGTCCGCCATTGCATGGATGGGGTGGTGGTGCTGGTGCTGGCTCAAAGTCCCAGTTCAACTCAACTCTACTGAACGGTGTGGTGCGGTGCGGTGTGGTTTGAGATTTGGGCTAAACGCATTACATAACGAACAGCAAACGACGAGTCCGACGAGTCGAGTCGAGTCGAGTCGCGCTTGACGATGGCGCACTTGTGGCAGACATTTTATTTGTAATATGACAGCACTTCATATCCTTTTCCAATGATATTAAGAGGCAGGCGAACAACAGGAAATTATGCACGTCAGACCTGTCTGCTTATGTGTAATACTCCATGCCCACCTCTTTGGTGTATGGTATATGGAATATGCGAATTGTGGGCAGGGTGGAGTTCACTTTTGCCCGCTGGCCCTTCGTCAGTTATTTGGTTGGAAGTCCACCCTTCCTCCCCCCCATTTTCATGTTTGTCAGGTTTTTGCTGGGTCTTTGCATACTTGATTGCATTTCCGTTAATGAATTGTTGTTGTTGATGAAACAGATGTGCGATAGTCCTCATAACTATAACTTACTATAGATTTGGGCATCAAACTTCCAGTTGAATTATTTTTGTGGAAATGTGGCCTTTTTCTAATAATTCGATGGGTCTTCTATATTGGCACATCTATTATGAATATGTTTAATATGCCCTTGTTATTATATTTATTTATTAAACGTGGTCTTAAAAAACAGATATTTAAAAAGAAAAATGTTAAATTCATTTGAAAATTAGAATTAAAGTTACATATTAATTAATATGACAAAAGAAAATAGTCAAATACAGAGTATTTATATTTGCGTTTATAAGACAACAAATATAAGTCAAGCTCTGAATTTATTGTAATATTATATATTTCAAATTAAATAATATTTTTCTCTACGGTTATTATCAGTTTGTCAGTTTAATATATAAAATATTAATCGAATAGAATAGAGTACTTTAATTCTCATCTCATCTTGCGGAATAAGATGTAAGGTAGCTAAATTGTTATATTCATTAAAAGTCCGTCTGTCAACATTGTTTGCTGTTTTGCTGTTTTTTCCATCAGTTCCAGTTAAGCATTTGTCGCATCATATTTTTTTTCGCAACCACTCTGTTTATAAATATTCGCAATGCTTGAAGTTCTCAATTGCCCTCTGAGGTATGTCATCAGTCATAACCCAAAGCTGTCGCTGTATTTACTTAACTTTGGCACACTCCGTTTTGCTCAATATCAAATGTTGGTTGTGTTTACCATTTCATGGTTTCATTTACGACACTCCCCCGAATGCAGGCAGGCAGAGCCAGCCCAAACCCATTCATTTCTTGGTGCTCCTTGCCACTCTACTTATATTGTCATTTTCAGTCATGCTTCAACGTTTGTTGATCCCCAGTTTTTGTTGCACAGCCTCAGCAGACTCATCTCTCTGCTTCCTGCTTGGGTGGTTTGGGCTGTGCCTGAAACAATAACACAAAAATACAAAGCTACCAACTGCTGCTGCCGCCCTCGGGGTGCTCAGTACTCCGTGGACTGACCACTTGCCAGCTTCCAAACGTAGCATGCAATCTGTTATGCGCCGGCAGTGCCCTTAAGCAAGAAACAACAACGGACATTTAAAACTCGGAGCTGTGAATACCCTTCAGAGTCTTATCGAAATACTAAGCTCCTTTGAAGTTATTAACAGGATCGAAAGTTGTATTTTGTTGGTAAAATGTATTCTTATTATAATCGCCGAAAAAAAAGCAGAGCAGAGAGTTAAACTTTGCTGGAGTTACTCATAAAGTCAACAATTTAATTGTGGTGGTAAAGTGTTAAAAACAACAAAAGGAAATGCACTGATTATTATAAATTCAATACACTGATTTTCTAATAGACTTAAAATAATTAATTTGGTTCCGAAAATATATAGTTTGTAAATATTTGAAAACCAGCCTAATTCCTAAATTAGGAGGCAAATGTAATAAAAGCACATTGATTATCATAAGATCAACTTCAATGAATTTAATTTAATTTTTAATTATATATAGAGAGACAGATATTTTTTACATTCCACATACTTAAATCCTTTCGATAAAATGTTATATAGATAAGAATATGTTAATACGCCTCAAAGCCAGATATCGGCCATTAAGCTAAACTGTTGCAAACCCCTTGACCAAGTTGCCAATGCCATCCCAAATAGTAGAAGCAACCAGAACTGCTACACATGCAACCCCTTTAGGTGAAGCACACAGCAGGCAATGGTAAAATAATAGGAAGGGTATGGGATGGAGAGGTGGGGTCTGTTTGGCAGCGACGCTCATTTGAAATGCATGCGACGAGAAGGATACGAGAATGGCTATGTGGCACGAAAGTGGGGAACGATGAACGAAGCAATCAACTCGTGTTTTCAAGGAGCATATCCTGATATCCTCTGACTGACTCTCGTTTGACTTTTTTGGCCTGCGGAAGTGTTTGTTTATTTAATTTCTGTTATTTTTAATTGAATTTTCAATACTGCCACAGATTTCTGATGCAAAAATCTCAACTTAATCCCTCTCATTGCAGAAGTTGCATCATTGGACCCGAGCTGAACGTCAAAGTCTGCTCCATTGGCACTGTGATAAACCGTTCGGCCTACTCGTCGGACTATTGCCAGCTGGAGGGCACCACTGGTCGACAGACGCAGCCAATGCCCATACGCTGGATGGCCTGGGAGAGTGTCCTGCTAGTAAGTTTACCCAATCCCCAGACCCTAACACTTTCCTCCTCTCCCAAGTCCAAGTCTTACAAGTAAAAAATCCACCTTGTTCACATTTTTATTCTTTTTATTTGTTGTTGCTGTTTTGCTCATTTACTGCTTGAATTGTGCGCAGAGGCAGAAGTTTATAATTATAAATTAATGAACAGTGTTCACTCTGCCTCTCCCCCTCTCTCCCTCTCTCTGTCTGTTTACCACCACCTTTCTCGCTCCTCTGCCCACCTGGGTATTCCAAGAAGCCAGTGGAGTTAACCACCAGGGTAGGGGTAGGCGATCCTTGAAGACAGCTTGACAGCAAAATGAGTTGTAATTGTGTTAATTATTTTTAATTTGCTTTTTCTGCTGCCTCTTTAAGCAGGCGATTTATGTCAGTTACCTTTTCCGGTCTTGAAGATCTGCAAACCATATTTTGATAAGTCTATTAGGGCAGCAAAAAGCAAAAAGGTGTGAATATTTTAGAAACAATTTTTGATTATTTTTACTAAGCTTGGAAGGGAAAATGCGAAGCCATTGAAGTAAAATTGTTAAGAGAAACAGTGAACTGAGAATATTGATGGAAAACGGGCTGTTAATACATATTTATTTAGTTTACGAGTAGTTGTGTAAAAATTCAAAATAATACGAGCTAAAAAAGAGTATTATAGAGGAAGAAGCTGTCTACATAATTGAGATTTTCAGTCTAATTAATATGAAACTTTACCTTTAATAGATTGAACTGAATATTTAAATTTTCCAATTAACTAATATATGCCCGAGATGCAACAGCAACAAAATATTTGAGTTACAGTCTAGTATCAAATGACAATGAATCACTTTAATTTTCGTTGAAAATAGCATAGAGCATGAATTTTAATAGCGAGTAAACAAACGAACCAACAAAATACGAAAAACAAAAAGACAAAAAATAAACAAAATAAAAACGAAACTGAGCAAAATATTTTGTAAATCCCCGAGCGAAAAACCGCACTAAATAAATTAATTAACTACATGAAAAACGGCGCAGACAACACAAAACAGCCGCACAGACAAAAAGGATATATGTATATGAAAAGGCATGGATAAATTCCACGCATATAGCATCAGATATATACATATGCTTGTTGTTGTTGTTGTTATGATTATTGTTGGTTTTGTTGTGCGTATGTGTGTGTATTTTAGACAACAAAGTACACGCTGGTTGTAGAGAGTTGTGCCATTGCCTTGGGGGCAAACGAATGGCAAAAGGGTTGGCAACGGGTTGGCAGCGGGTTGGCAGCGGGTTGGCTGAGATGTTCTTTGGTATTCAAACATATATGCATATTAAAAAGCGCAAAAGTTGCCTTAAAGGATATATGTATATGTATGTATGTATGTGTATGTGAATGAATGGCTTTGTGCCGACGCCCAACAGCAACCGTAAAATCCTTAAGCCAAAAGCCATGTAAACAAAAATAAAGCGAACCGGTCTTTTGGTCGGATACGTGTGTTTGTATTAATAAAATACAAATAAAGAAGAAAAAAAAACTTTCATTTAATTGCAGGCCAAATTCAGCACCAAATCGGATGTTTGGTCCTTTGCCGTTGCCCTCTGGGAAATATTGACATTCGCCCGGGAGCAGCCCTACGAGCACATGACAGATGCGAATGTTATTGAAAACATCGGACATATCTATCAGGACGATAAAATGCATGTAAGTAACAATGCATTGTGCTAACTGTTAGCGTATATGTATGTACACATTTACTCTATGCATCTCTATTTTTTGTATATTTGCAGGAACTCTTGCCAATGCCACTCAACTGTCCGCGCGAAATTTACGATCTCATGTGCGAATGCTGGCAACGCAACGAATCAAGTCGTCCCAATTTCCGGGAGATACATTTGTTTCTGCAGCGCAAGAATTTAGGTTTTAAGCCCAACACCCAAACGCTGATGTATTAAATTGTATTTGTAAAAAACAAAACGAAAAGAAGAAGGAAAAACCCAACAAAAATAAACAAGAATTACACGCGATTTTAGCACACATTTGAAATACATATATATCAAATATTATATGGCAAATTTAAAATAAAAAAATAAGCCACAAACAAAAAACACACACACACTCAATGCGTATTTTACGCATTTAAAAGATAAATGCAATTAAAATGAAATGATTTGTAAACAAACTGCGGCTTGTCGTAGTGGAAAATGCCCTCACTAAAACGGTAGTCAAATGTATTCCGAGATCCTTTTGAAAGTGTCCCAGAGATCAGAAAAATGAATACACTCAAATAATTTATAGAACTCATAGTTGGAATCCCTATTCTGATTTAAAATAGCAAATGCTTGAATGGCTACATGCTTCAGTTATCTTCTTGATTTTATTTTTGACTTAATTATAAAAAGAAAGAATTTTAGTAAAAGCAAGTTTTTAATCTGGGAATAATCTGTTCACAAAATTACAAAAATAATAATAATGCTACTAAGAAAGAACAAACCATATTAAAATATCCCAAAACTATTCAATAGGGCTTACAACTTTTGGTTAGGGCACCCAGCACATACAGTAATAATATGATAAGAGATTAATTGGTCAGACACAGGATATGCTTAGCGTTAAGTTCAATATTTCGAGTCAATAGCTTAAGATTTGCATTCAACACACTCGTAATTTGAATCGAATTGTAAATATATTTCAAACAGACTATACACAATTGACAATTTCGACATATGATAGATATAAGTATTTGTTGTACTGTACGCGTATTCTATGAAATAGAATCTAAAATGTAAACATTGACATATGTGTGTACCTATCGCTCCTCCACCTGAACGCTCTCTATCTGATAATTTTGCTTTAAATGTATGTACATACCTATACCTATGCATATAGTATATATAAATACGAAGAACTCTAAATAAATATATATACATATATATTTATATAAACGTAGTTCTATGCAAAAACTCCCCCCTCAATTCTAAATGAACTCTATCAACCACAACTCAAAATTGAATTTTGATGGAAGAATAATATCCAAAAAAAAAAAAAACCTGCGTATAATTTTGACAATAAATGTTTGAGCAACTGAAAATTAGAATTTCATTTTATGCAAAATGCTTCTAGAACTGCCGACTAGAGAAGTGTTCTATATAAAACTAGTATGCTAAGCGTAAATATTCTCAGCTAAGATAACACTGTGTTTTCAAGCCAAAGCTCGAACTTCAAATCATGACAAAGTCAATTAGACGCATATCAAAATATTTCTTTACTTCAGGCTTTATCTATCATGTCCTTTGTTGTTTTCTTTTTTTTTTTTTGAATCAAATAAATATAGTTTCTTGTGCCTTTTCCGCGCTTCATTTTATTTTCCACACATTATATAGAAAGTAAATTAATTGCTAATTTGGCAGTTTATGTTTAATGAATAAGCTTTAAAGAGGTTTCGCTGTAGCAACAAAATACTTGAAAATATATTCTTAAAACTATGCAAAAATCATAGTCAATCAATCGATTTCAAGTTCGGGCCACCGAACTTAACTGTCTTTCCAAAACGAAAATTTTTTTCAGAATTTAAAAATATATATATATCACTTAATTGTTGTGTGAGAAACTTGGAAAGCACGTTTGATAACTTATTTAATTGTGCAATTATTTAAATTAAAATTTGTTTCGTAGAATATTCCAATCATAAATGCTGATTTGCATTATAGATTAATAAAAATGCAATTAAAACTATTATTACACACATAAGTATGAAAAAAAGACACATTTACAATTATTTGGAAAAAGCTGACGAATAAATGAAAAAAGTTTCAATTGCAACGAATCTAATTACGGAATATTATATTCATCAATTAATTTTCATGTCATACAAACATTTAAAAAAAAATCATTAAGACCTAAGATAAAAAGGAAAAACGTTGAGCACAATCATGTTGAATAAAAGTTTAAAAATTTAAGAGCATTGGAAATGGCAAATTACATTAAAAACAACAAAAATAATAATAAAACAAAACAACAAAAAAGTTCATCTTTGGCACGCCGAAGATTACATATCCTTGCAGACCAAAGTCCAACTGCTCACATTTTAAATTAAATATTAATTGAAATAAAAAAAACAAGTTAATTTTTCTAAACAAGAAAAAAATCAACAAACAAAAATCAATAATATAATAGTCTTAAGCCAAGAAAATAATCTTAGATTGAGTCCGTTTATTCTGCAATAAAAAAAAAACTTGATTTGGTGAAAAGTTATAATACTGCAATGGTATAAAAAAAGAAAATGACAAAAAAATAAATAAAAATAACGAATATATAGCTTAAGAAAATCTGCAGCTAAATACATTAAAAACAAAACATAATTTAAAAATCCCAAGTACACTAAATGCAAAAATAAAACAAAATACAAATCAAAATTGCTGGAGAGTATCTATTGTTTTTGGGGCACATGCCACTGTTGCATGCCTAGTAAAGTGGAGCATGCAAAACTAAATGAGACTTTGAGCCGCTGTGTGCAGTCCAACAGCTGAGTCCTGCGGGTCCTCGGTCCCCGACAAGAGGAAAATTAAATAACATAAAATACAAATCCGGCACAAATCCGAAGGCCAACTTGAAAATAATAAACTTATTAATTCAGATTGCCGGCCTCGACGCCAGCCAGCAGCGGCCTACATAGGACCTGTGCCCAGAAAATAGCGGCTGGCTCATCATTGTCGCATTGTTAAATCCTCAAAACATCTGTGACCCTCGAGCTCAATTACAGGCAGATTTTCCTAGCCGCCATGCACACCGCCCAACCATGCTTTCGGAGCTTATGTTTCTTCTGCTAGAGATGGGCACGTGAATCACGAATATCATGGAGAACTAAGAAAATGTATGTGGCATTCTATGTATTATCTGATTTCAAAATATAATGATATAACAGTCGAATTGGTTTTTGAATAAATTCTGATTTTATTTTATTCGATTTATTATTCTTTTCTATATTTATTAAGACTCCTAATTCATATTTTTTAAATTATTTTTAAGTTACTCAATGTTGAGGGTTGCAAGTAGGGTTCATTCCTAGTTCCCACACACTAATCCCCAAATGGAAGTTACAGAAATTGTAGCACACTTTTGCTGCTTAGCTCGCACATTATTTTTGCTTTCTTGTTGAATGTGTGTCGGTTTGTGTGTGTGTGTGTGTGTGTGTGTGTTATTTTCTTGCCTCTTCATCTCAACTGCAAAGGCAACGGTTACGCAATTATTTGTGCGGTTTTGTAGCGTTTTGCTCTGAACTGGGATTTGGTGAATCCAGCTACTAATTGGAAAAAAAACAACAAAAAAAACAGAATGCCAGCAGTAAAAATGCTTGCGACAAAGTTGTGATTGCAAATAGTCGAGGCTACTTTAATTTAAAGTAAGTTTGCGTTAACTGTCGAATCGAAATCAATAAGTTATTATTCGAGGGAGGGCCTCGAGGCTCAACTCGCTGGCTTTGCCGGCTTCTCCCGCGGGGATGAGAGTCGAACTGGAACTGGGACTGGGACTGAGACTGGCACTGGGACTGCGCTTATTTGACTTGGCTTTCTTTTAAGGTTTGCGAAAACAAAATCCCAGACGCAATCTTTGATTTTATTGTAAGCAAGCCAAACGAAAACAAAGCAAACGCAAAAAGAACAAACAGAATGAGCGCCAGCAGCGACGCGAGGCGTCGGCGTCGGCGTCAGCAACAAATGCGCTCACAGATTTTGCTTTGGTTAGCAAAACAACAGCAACAACAAAAAGAAAAACAACAAGCAAGCAAAATGCCGCAAGGAGCACGAACCAAAAAGCAGAAAAGAAAAAGGGGGAAAAGCAACAACATAAAGGCATTTTAATAGCATATCTGTATATGTAAAAGCATATGTGTGTGAGTTTTTACATATGCATATGTATACACACATGTTCTGTACATATGTATGTGTGTATTTATGTTAATTTATGTTAATTGCGCTCAACAGGTAAAGGATATAAATATGTAAATAAATAAAAAAGCTATTTTAAATTCTGAGAGAGCACATCTGGGACTGTGTTCTCCTCTCAAATACAAATTTAATATTTTTTTGAAAAGCCATAAAAATGCAGACGATGTCGGTGGGTAACGGTAAAGCCATTTGCACTGGGGACATGAAGTCATCAAATGCGACACCCCCTCCCCCTCCCTCAGGCACCCATTGCGTGACCCTCTGCTTTGCCTAGCCCGCTTTTTTGCTCGACGCTGATCAGAAGAGAAAAAAAATAGCCCACTGCACCTTAAGGATTTGCTTTTTATGTTTATTATTCACTTTCAGCCACGTGGCTGGATGTGGCACCCTTCGCCAATTCGATGCGCTAGTTTCACACCCTTGTGCCACGCACCCCTGCGTCGCCCCTGTCTACGTATCGCTTTCCCCCGTTCAAAAAAAGCCACAAACGAAACATGTTGCGTTTTTTATGTGGCCTACTCTACAAAGATGCCACCAAGGGTTAAGATGGGGGGGTTGAGTTGGCTCCTGTCTAAGGTCATCAATAATGGCGCAAACATACATTTAAGTCGCCTGCTTTGCATTAAGACGAAATTGCCACACAACCTGAGCCCTTTCCTAATGCTTCCCTTTCCGTTTACTTTTCTTATTTTTGTTTTTGCTATTACTACAGCTCTCTGGGGACTCACTACTTTCAATAAAAATTTGTTTGTACATTGTGGACAGTTTTTTTTTAAGGTGGATTTAACCTTTTTGCTAATAGAAATGGACGGGATCAAAAAATACTGCTTTGGGGTGTTATTTTTTTATTGCACTGTTATTTTAAAGGTTACTCTGCAGCCGAAGCTAACGGCGCTGACTGTTAACGCAAATCCGAGTCTGTTATTGTATGTGTTATGTGCAGACGATAAGCCGAATATCGACTCGCCACCACAGCGAAACGCAGACAACATTCACGTCTATCGGCTGGGGCAACACTGGCGCGGCGAAATCCATTGTGCATTTCTTCTAAATTAAAATGGCATTTGCTAGCTGGAAAAAAATAGTTTCATAAAGTGCAGTACAATATACGAAATTGCATGCAGGTATGCTGTGCAAAATTGGAAAATACATATTGAACAACAAGCAACAAATTAGCAGCTTTTCTCCATCAAAAACTATGCGCGTGTGCCCATCTATGCAAGTGTGTGTGCGTGTGTCTGAGTGAAATTCCAACAATGCGCAGGGAACGAGTTGGCTGAAATTTCTTTATGCAAAGCGTACGCAATAAAAACGAGGAAGAAGAAGAGCGAGCGATAAAGCCAGGAAAATTATAGATACTTTGAAAAAAAGTGCGTATAATTAGCAAGTGCAACAACAAGCGTTGTCAATACATATTTATGTATTATGTGTGTGTATCGAAAGCAGCCTACACAAAATCGTTGAACTGTACAAAAACACGCCCATATTTAGTATGTGTGTAAAACGCCAGATTTGCTTTGCATGCACATGTGTGTGTGTGTGTGTGTCTGTGCGTGTGTGTGTATTTTTGTGACAGTGTTTATTTATTACACTTTGATTTTGCAATAAGCTGCTGCTGTTGCTGTAATGGGAGCTTATCCAGTGAACGGAAGTCGTCGCCTACAATTTTCGTGATTTTTTTATTAGTTTTTGCTGCCCCCACACACACACACACAAAACATAGAAAACAATCACACAGGCACACGCATACATGCACACATACATGTATACATATAAACTCACAGCCAGTGTTGCCGTCGCGGTTGGCTTCGGCGTCAGCAGCGCAGACTCAATTGCATGAGAATTTTTTTTATATCTCTTTTGTTTTTGTTTTACTTTTTTTTGTTTTGTTGTCGTCGCCGAGCAGCAGCAGCGTTGTCTTAATTTATTGGCAGCATTGTTGCTGCTGCTGCGCCTGCTGAAAATGAAAGTGTGTTAGTATGTATGTATGTACATATGTATGTATGTATCTGCTGCAAAATGTGCGCCCAGCGAAACAAAAGCAAAAAAACAAAACAAACCTAATTGACCAATAAAATCTCACAGTATTTTTTTTTCTTTTTTTTTACGAGGGACTTAAGAGATTTCCTCTTATATATTTTTGCACCTAATTAGGTGCATTTTGTAAGAGCTTTAAAATAATAATAAATAATTTACAAATACTTTTCAAGCTACTAGTTTAGCCACTGTCAATATGATGATTAATAATAATTAAGTAATGATGCAGTTAGTATTCAGAATTTTATCGTTTTTATATTTTCTCAAACTTGAACTCATAAACTAAAGAAAACCAAGCAAAGCAATAACAAAACGAATATGAAAATGTATAAACGTAGCTGAGGAACTTAGTTGTTTTGTTTCTTGCAGCTTAATCACAAGGTCTAAAGTTCAGCACACATATCACCCAACTGATTGGCATGCCGTAGCTGCAGTCGCTGAAGTAGCAGCAGTTGCAGCAGCAGCAGCATTAGCAGCGCCTTAATGGATCCATATCATCATATCAGACATCATGTGAGTATCTTCAATCATCCTCAATCATCAGCTACAATCAACCACATCCATTGTATGTCCATTATGAACATTCATTTGATATTTTCCTTTTGTAGTATCCACCCACTAGTACAGCCGGCACAACGGTGGTTGGCAGCGGCACCAATAGCACAATCATTCGACCAGAATTGCATCAAAAATGCAATCGTGGCTCGCATTCGAGTGACACAAGTTCAGCGTACAGCGGCAGCGATACAATGGCCTCTGTCTATGGATCATCGCTGGAGGCCGAGGAGATCGATCTCTCCGGCCTCGTCGAGTCTGTGGTCGACTCCGATGAGGAGGATCTCGCCGAGAGCATGGATGTGAGTCGGTCATATCAAGCCAAAAAACAAAAGAAAACAAATTATTTTCAATTTGTTGAGAGTCATTTTAATTAACGAAATAAATAAGCGCCATCAGCGTTTAATAAACGTTAATATATAAATTAAAAATTGTAGTTTTACCAATCATCCAGTTAAGATTACTTTATAATAGCTATATCTTATAATTCATCCCGTCTCCACAGAGCCTCAATGTGCGGGATGCGGTGCGCGATTGCCTCGAGAAGGATCCGTCGGAGCGCAGCGAAGACGATGTGGAAATCCTGCTGGAGTTCACGCAGGGCCTGAAGGCATTCACAAACATAACGCTAGCGGTGCGACGAGCTCTCTGTTCCGTGATGGTGTTCGCTGTGGTGGACAAGGCTGGCACCGTTGTCATGTCCGATGGCGAGGAGCTCGACTCGTGGTCGGTGCTAATCAATGGCGCCGTCGAAATCGAGCATGCGAATGGCACACGCGAGGAACTGCAAATGGGCGACTCCTTTGGCATACTGCCGACCATGGATAAATTGTATCATCGCGGCGTGATGCGCACCAAATGCGATGATTGTCAGTTTGTGTGCATCACCCAGACCGACTACTATCGCATCCAGCATCAGGGCGAGGAGAATACGCGCCGGCATGAGGATGAGAACGGACGTGTTGTGATTGTCACCGAACTGCGCTCGATTGGCGGCAGTGGAGCGGAGAGCGCCACAACAACTGGCGGCAGCGGATCAGCGGCCACAGCACATTTGAATACGAAGCGCGGTCATGTGGTGATCAGAGGCACACCGGAGCGACTGCTGCAGCAGCTTGTCGAGGAGAACTCGATGACGGATCCAACATATGTCGAGGATTTCCTGCTAACGCATCGCATTTTCATACACAATCCCCAAGAGGTGACCAGAAAACTGTTGCACTGGTTCGATCTCGAGCAGCTGGACACGCACAAAACGCAGGAGCTGAGAGATCGGGTCACTCGCGTCGTTCTACTCTGGGTGAACAATCATTTTACCGATTTCGAGGCGGATCACGAAATGATGGAGTTCCTGGAGATCTTTGAGGCTGGCCTGGAACGCAAAAAGCTGCTCAGCCAGCTGCGTTTGCTGCACATTGCATGTGCAGCCAAAGCGCGCATGCGCAGCTGCATCTTGACGCGTTCCTCACGCGACGAACCACTCAATTTCCAAATTATTGGCGGCTACGAGCTGCGCGGCGTGGCAGCTGCCACAGGCAATGCCTCCGTCGGCATTTACATATCGCACGTGGAGCCGTGCTCAAAGGCCCAGGATGTCGGACTGAAGCGTGGCGATCAAATCCACGAGGTGAACGGTCAATCCCTGGATCATGTGACCAGTAAACGGGCCATGGAACTGCTGACGGGCACCACCCACCTAAGCATTCAAGTGAAAAGCAATCTGCTCGGCTTCAAGGAGATCATGCAGGCCCTGGAGCATGGCAGCGGCAGCTCAGCCAGCAGCGGTGGTGGTAGCGGTGTCGGCGGTGGCATTAGCTCCAGCGGCAATGGCAGCTTTAAAAGTTTGCGCAGTCCACGTCGGATTTGTGCGAATGACATTGCCAAGCTGCACGGACGCAGCGACAGCACCAGCGAGGACCTGACCAATCGGGCGCACATGGTGCGTCTCAGTTCGGTGGATATGCTGCTCGATCAGCCGGACTGTGCGCCGCCCCAGACGCCGCCAGTGAGTGGCGGGGGCGGCGGTGGCATTATGGCCTCGAACTTTATGCAACAGCTGCTGCAGAGCGTCAACTCGAATTCGGCGAAAAAGGGCAGTGTCGAGGATGCCAAACCGGGCGGCTTCATGACCCTGGCGCCCAAGCGACGTCTGCAGAAGGCGCTGGCCAAAATGAATCTGCTAAATAAACAGCAACAGCCGCTGGTTGGCAGCCTCAACGACAGCTCCGACACGCTGCTGAATGAGCCGCAGTGCAAGGCCAAGTTGTCCGCTGCCAGTTCTGGCAGCAGCAGCTGCGCCTCCACAACCAACATGTGCAACATGGCCGGTCGCCTCTATCAGTCGCAATCGAATCCGGATCTGAGCAGTCTCAACTATGACAACAGCAACAGCGAACCCATCGCCATGCTCCAAGTCAACTATTTGCAGGCGCATCTACATCGGCCATCGGCTGCGAGCACGCTGACTGCTAGCTCCATGCTGCCGCCGGACTATCCGGAGCATGTGCTCAAGGTGTACAAGTCGGATCAGACGTGCAAGTATGTGCTCATCTACAAGGAGACGACGGCCCATGAGGTGGTCATGTTGACACTGCAGGAGTTCGGCATCCACGATCCAAGCTCCAATTTCTCGCTGTGTGAGGTCAGCGTGGGCGAGGGCGGCATGGTGAAGCAGCGCCGGCTGCCCGACCAGCTGCAGAATCTAGCGGAACGCATCAGTTTCGCTGCTCGCTATTATCTCAAGCTAAACGACAGCACCGAGCCGCTGGTGCCCGATGAGCTTGCCTTGGAGCTGGTGCGGGAGTCGGGTGTGCATTTCCTGCAGCTGAATGCATACGAGCTGGCCATCCAGCTGACACTGCAGGATTTCGCCAATTTCCGTCAGATCGAGTCCACGGAGTATATCGATGAGCTGTTCGAGCTGCAGTCCAAGTACGGTGTGCCGATGCTGAGCAAATTCTCGGAGCTGGTCAATCGCGAAATGTTCTGGGTGGTGAGCGAAATATGCGCTGAGCACAACATTGTGCGTCGCATGAAGATCGTTAAGCAGTTCATCAAGATTGCCCGGCACTGCAAGGAGTGCCGCAATTTCAACTCCATGTTTGCCATCATCTCGGGTTTGGGACATGGCGCCGTTTCGCGGCTACGTTTGACCTGGGAGAAGTTGCCGTCAAAGTATCAGCGTCTGTTCAATGATCTGCAGGATCTGATGGATCCATCGCGCAACATGTCCAAGTACAGGCAACTGGTATCCGCCGAACTGCTCGCCCAGCATCCCATCATACCGTTTTATCCCATTGTCAAGAAGGATCTGACATTCATCCATCTGGGCAACGATACCCGTGTGGATGGTCTGATTAATTTCGAGAAATTGCGCATGCTCTCCAAGGAGGTGCGTCTGCTGACGCACATGTGCAGCTCCCCCTACGATCTGCTGGCCATATTGGAGCTGAAGGGACAAACGCCCTCCAACGCCCTCTTCTCGCTGAACCAAATGTCTGCGTCGCAGAGCAATGCTGCCGCGGGCACCGTAATTGCAGCCAACGCTGGACAGGCTACGATTAAGAGGCGCAAGAAATCGACAGCGGCGCCCAATCCCAAGAAGATGTTCGAGGAGGCGCAGATGGTGCGACGCGTCAAGGCCTATCTGAACAGCCTGAAAATACTCAGCGATGAGGATCTGCTGCACAAGCTGTCGCTCGAATGCGAACCGCCGCATGGCTCCACCTACTCGGGCAGCATTTCGCATGGCAACACCTCGCATCGGAGCGCCGGCAGTGGCAGCATCAATGCCAGCAATGCGGGCGCTGGCAGCATCAATGCTGGCGGAGATCAGCTCAGCATTTATTCGCACACCAGCTCCAGTTCTGCACCGAATTCATCGCTGTCGCTGCGCAAACGGCATCCCAGTTCGCCGACACTCTCCACGACCAGTTCGACGAGCTCGACCAGCGACCATCAGCGTCGCCAGCAGCTGCACAACAATGGACCCAAATTTGGCACCGCTTCGCCGCAGGCGGTCAAGAAAATGCTCTCGCTATCCGAATCCTCGAAAATACGGCCACATCAGCCATTTGTGCCGCGCCACAATTCGGCCCTGCCCGGCGTCATTCCGCCGCTACATCATCTACATGCCGCCCATGGATTTAGCACACCAGCCGCCGGAGTTGTTGTCCCATCGCCATCTGCTGCCGCTGCGGCTGCTGCTGGTGCTGGTGCTGCTGTCCCAGCCAGCGTGGTCAATGCACAGTGTACGCCCAGTCCCAGTCCGTGTGCACATCGACGTTTAGCATCTGGAGGTAAGTAAGCCTTTGTAAACCTTTCTGCCCACATCACATCCATTACTAAGCCGTGGATTAGCGACTCGGGGAATATTCTGCTGGCCTATCGACTGATCTCTGTCATAAATATATTTTGGAGTTCTTAGAAAGACAAACACCTTTTTTTTTTAGAATAAATTGCTTGAATTGGGAAATCAGCATTAGAAAGAAAATTGTGTTTGTGGCAAAATGTTCCTTTATTGGTAAAAAATGTAGGTGAAATCATTATTAGAGTTTCGCTGAAACTGTGTTTGAAAATGTGATATTTTGTTATTTGAATCATGACTTTAAAAATTTGCTTAAGATTTAAAAATATGGACAATTTTAGCTATGGAAACATATGTCAAAAAGTAGCTGAAATTATTTATGGTTGAATAGCTTTAAGAAAATATCTGTAATATAGTAAAAGTTGTTTACGAAAGCTTTTTTTATTATTATTTTAACTATTGCAATTGAAGATTATTCAAATTGATGAAAAGTTTATAAATGCCGGCTTGTTATTAATATTTTTCTTATAATTGTTACCTTTTTTTAAATAATTTAATTATGTTTTTGCTGGCTCAGAGTCAAGTGTTTTTCTGCAATTTTATGCTAGAAAAATATAATTGGATAACAATTCTAAACAAGATTATTGCAATTTATGTTTATGCTTATGCTAAATAAGTTCAATTCGCTAACTAAAGCAATTCTTGTATCATTTTTCAGGCAACATAATGCCGACCCGTGCGATACACGAGCGTTCCCATTCCGATACGCCCGCCCCCCCGCCGCCGCTGCCTTCGGTGGATCTCTCGCTGGAGAGCAGCAGTGTGACCACATTTCGTGATTTACCGCTGCGCAAATCCGTGACTTCCGGTAAGTGTGCTGTGCAGATGAGCTCTGTGGCAAGAACGCCTGCCCCACTGCTACCCCCCGCCGCCGTCAAATAAACTAAACGCTTAGCGCTGCCTACTAAAACCAAAGTTCAAATTTAGATCATAGTTCATAGTTAATAATAATCATAGTGCCTAATTGTAGCTTAACTTTAGTTTGAACCCTAGCTAAAAAACCAAAAAAAATACATTTTTAGATATGCTTTAAATATACCCCGCTCCTCGCTTGCATTGTGGCCGATTCTATATATTGGTGGTTGGTTATCGCTGCTTTGGCATTTGGTTGTTGGTCTCACACATAACTCACACACACACACGCACACACACACACGCACACACACACACATGCATTTACAACATTCACACACAGTGTGACACACTTTACGCTACTTTTACTCTACTCTCATTGCCACAAAAAAAAACACACACAACCCACAGGTTCGGTTTCATCGTGTGACAGCGGGCATGGCTCCTACGCCCAGCAGCAGCAACAACAACAACATTCGCATCATCAGCAACACCATTTGACATACCAACAACAGCAACAACAACAACAACAATCGCAGCAACAACAGCAACACAATGATCCATCGCCGCCCGTTTATACGGCTGCTGATTGCCGGCTGTTGCAGCAGATATCGAACAATGCCGTCACACGGAATTTGAATAGTCCCTGCCAGAGCACGAGCACACCACCCAGCACACCCACACCACCAACACCACCACCACCGACACCACTACAACAACCACCAACAGCATCCATACAGTCAACACCGCTTCCTGCACCGCCAGTGCCCTATTTGCATATGCGCAGCCACCAGCAATTGCAACAGATACAACAGCAATTGGCAATGCCACCACCACCGCCACCGGTCTACACAAGCAGCCTGTACAATCACCATCACAGCAATGCAACCACCAACAGGCATCTAAACCACATGCATGGTAAGTCGAGAGCAGGCAGGCCCCGAAGCGACAGAGCCACCAAATGCAGCGTAAGCGTAAACGGGGAATGAGTCCTCTGAGAACCAGATCCTAAGAATATGATAGAGTGGGCGAAATCTGATATTTAATACTCAGATCATTTTTTTGTTTCTCGATTTTGGCAGACAACTGATTGATGTGAGAGTCCTTTATAAGTATATTAATTATTTGCTAAATTCGAATGCGATAGGAAACTGAAACATGACCATAAAAACTAAATCTCAAACATTAGTTAATGTTTGACTTATTTATTTTAAAAATGCAATACTTTATTTTAAAGTACAAAATTAAGAATTTGTTTTTATTATAACTCTTTATTCATATGTAAGTAGTAATACGTATTTAATGTCTGACAATTTTAAAGATATTACCATATTCAAAACAATCAAATCACTAAAAAATATTTATTTACATCATTTTCTCCGACAGGTGGTCCGCCAAATTTTATGGATAGCACCAAGTGTACCATATGCCCCATGCCACCCATGAATCAATAAATCAAACTGTGCTGTTTTAACTACTAAATGTTAATTTAATTAGTTGTGAGTACATCATACAAAGCAATTGCATGTTCAATTATTAATCTATGGATTTCTTACTTTCCAGCATATATATAGATGCCAAAATTTGTTAATGGTTGTGGTTTCCATGTTACCAACAAACAAACATTCACATACATCAATCGTCATCGTCATATATACAACAAGAACAAAAACTATGAAAATATGTTGCATATACATGTTCAAAATCCCATTTATCATTTATCAGCGTCAACGTTCGAAATCCCATTGTCACGTATTCTTAGATTAAGCGCCTAACAATTAGTTTTGCTGTATGTTTTAAGTGGCTTACGATTAATTTTAATTTAGCACAATTCTTTGTAAACATTTTCCTCAAAAAATAAGTCAAAACAATAAGAATGATCCACAAAGTTGTTGCCTTCTCACATGCATAGAAAAAAAAGAAAAGAAAAAAAAAACGTCTGCAGGCAGACCAAAGTAGCAGACCCCAATCAAAACTTTTGCAATCAAAAACTCTTTTGAAGACTTTCAGTTGGCACTTAGGAAAACAAAAAAAAAAAACAAAAAACAAAATAAAAAAAAAACGGAAAAATGATGAAAATGTTTCGCCCAACCCAACAATAATAATTATAATAATAATAATGAAATGATAGAGACGAGGCCGACTTATCAATCTTTTGTATTCCATTTATGTATACTTTAGCTCTACATATACACAAGTTAGTTCTATCTATGCATACACATACATATAACACATATACACATGCATATGCAAAGTAGAGTATGATAAAAAAAAACCTTCGCTCCAATTCCAAATATTTAGTTTGTAAGCTGAACGATTTTTTCGAATATTTTTCAAACGTTGTATGTATTCAATGTTTACTTTAAACATAAAAGACAAACGCAATTAATGAAAACGATAGAAGACAAACCTAAACAAAAAGATAAATGAAAGTACAAGCAAATCGAAACCAACCAGAAACAACAACAAGAAAACAAAAACCTGAGACTCGAACATCAACAAATCTAATAATAATATTAATAATGTTTTGTAAACATATTTTTCTCACACGTTAAGGACTCCAATATTTTTGTGTGTGTATTCGATTGCCTGTTATATATACATAAATATACATTATATATATATATATATATACACATACGACTATATACAAGAAATCTCTATATATATATATACATTGCCTATATACACACCTGAACAAAGTGCAGCCCGACTCGCCTAATTTATATACAACATCAATATATATGTTTTTCTTATATGAAAAAAAAAATGAAAAAATGCTAAATGTTTAAATGTACTATATTTGTGCTCTTTTAGGTTTAAGCTAAGATAAACTTTTCCTTTTAATGGCTTACACAAGTAAATGAAATAATGAAACAAGCAAATATTTCTGCTTTTTCGCTTGAATCAACTTTTAATTAAAGTAAAAATCTCATCTAATTTTGCAGCGCCAAAAGCGCAAATTTTTAAAGCTCTTTTCTAAAGTTGCGAGAGTTATTAATCGCTTGATAAATAAGCCCCAATTTGAGAGATTAAAACTGTTTGCTTTAGCAATGTTTGAAAGAATTTATTTTACTTTAACTACTCTCTCAAATCTATATGTAAAATGCGTTTATTTGTGCTAAAAAAAAAAAAAACGTTTCTATTTCATTAATACGTCTCTTTGCTATATCGTTTAAATCTAGAAATATTTTCTGTCGATTACCAATTATACAATTTTAGATTAAAACTAAACTTTCGCTAAACTCCAACTTTAGATTAGAACGGAATCCAAAAAAAAAAAGACCCAACATAAAATAGGATAACAAAAATGTAATTTCGACATGCTTCAATGTTAAATAAAATATTTACAAATAATTTTAATTAAAAATTTGCAATTATGTAATTCATTTAAACTTCTATATGGATGCGTATTATATATGTCACATATATAATATATATGTTTATTTATGCGAATTACTTTGGAAATATCATAAACAAAATACATTCAGTATTTTAAAACTAAAAGGTGTCTTTAATTTATGTTCTAATGAGTTATACATTTCAGGTCGAAATTATAACACTCCCACTCACCACAAGAAAGAAAATACAAGTTTTATCGAAAATTAAATTTGATTTTTTTATTATTGCTTTGCGTTGCGTAGAGCATATCAATTGGTTCATTAAAAAAATGTATAAATAATTTGGCTTTAAACCTAAGCACTATGATTAACACAAAAATTAGTATTTGTATTGGGTGGAGCGCGTAAATTTTGGTAACAAATTCGGAACTTAGGTGTAAACAATTGGGATCACAAAGCAAATAAACTAAATGATCGTCTATAATGGTTGGTGGCTGTGGTGGTTTATAGCTGCACACGTGGAAGAACACTCATATGATACTTATCATTAATATTATGTGGAGAATATGAAACTAAGTCTTTAAGTAGTAGTAGATGCAAAACAGTTGTTCGTTTCTTTTCTTTTCCTTTCCTTTCTTTTCGTTTCGTTTTCATTTGTTATTCATACGTTAGGCTTAAACAAGAAATACTATATGCAAATGAGCCAGTTTACAATCGCTTCAGATTAACCTCGTGCGTTTCAGATAGGTGATGAGCAGATTGTAGATAAACTTATATTGCGCTAGCGATGGTATAATGCTGTCCCGCTGATGTCGCAGCTGCCCAATGACCCGCGGTATATCCAAGTCCTGCCACAAATGGAATACAATTCAAAATGTGCAACTTTTAGATATATATGTATATTAATGATCGTACCTCATTGTGATCCAGTGTGTAGAGCAAGAGGTCTGCTGTTAGGGTGACACCTGAACGACCGCCACCCTCCAGGCAGTGGATGAGCACGGGCGGATTGGTATTGTGACCGGGCGGCACTTCATGCGTCGATGCCAATCGCACCGAATTGAGCTCCTCGAGAAAGTCGAGAAAATGATTGACATCCCGCGGGCAATTCTGCTCGACCCAATCGGCGTACTGCAGATGCCACACAGAGCGATAGCGACGCGACGGTGCATGATACAAACGCAGCTTGCTCGTCGTGCACCGATCGGTGGTTTGTGAGAATTCCTGATACACCTGGAACTGTGAAGAGCAGCCAATAATTGATTAGGACTATTGTTAATTGCGCAACTTGTCGTCCTGTCTACTCACGTGTCCAAACTCCATGCGCTGTTGACTGCTGAGCGGTATATAGCTCATGTCCTCGGTTAACTGCACAACTAGGTAAACATCCGCCTCCCAGACGCACTGCCAGAAGATGCGCATCGTTTGCGACTCCTGCGGCGATTGGGCGACAATATAAAATCGTTGCTTTGTGCCCACAGTGGCCTACACAAACAAATAAAACCAGAACGTTAGTTAGAACAAAGAACAAAGAGCAAAGATCAGGCATCAAGAAGGGATTCAATTCATTAAACGCACCGATATGTAGGAGGCATTCACGTAGCCATGTCGATTGTCCATGGATGGCGTGAGACGGACGCGATTATCATCGTATGGCAGAAAATTGGGATCGTGATTCTTCGACTCGTTCTCCTCAAGCAAAGCACAATCGTATTGGGCATGCTCACGTCTCTTCGGTATGCGCTCGAACTCCATAAAGAGCTGTGCATCCTGCAGCTTATCATTTAAAATCTGGCACTGCAAGCGAATAACCAATAATATAATACATATATATAAAATAGTTCTAGTTCAATTCATACCAATTTATCCTTGGAATACTGGCCCGATATGGGCTGCGGCTTGGTTAGGCCCGTTGACCAGCGATGCGGCAGATTTAGATCGTCCTGGGCCAGCTTCATTTTGGTCGCCAGCTTGGCTTGCTGGGCGGCCGAGGAGCTGGCCTTCTCTCTGCCGAGCGTGGCCGACTTTTGTTTGTCGGGCGTTTTGCTGCGCGACAAAATGTTCCAACGCCGGCGACGCTTCACATCCTTGCTGGCCGCCGAGGAGCTCGTGGTGTCCAGCGTTGAGTTGAACATCGAAGATGTCGTCGACGCCGAGGCCGATGTATTGGCTGATAGATTCATGGCACTGAATTGCTGATGCAGCGAATCGCCCGCCGGCGAAATCACATCCACCGTCGACTTGTTTAAGCTCGCCGTCGAGCGATGTTGCCGCGGCGGTGCCGTCGCTCCAATTGCTGGCGCGGCACTTGCCGCACGTGCGGCACGCAACGGTGCCTGTGGCTCCAAGAACTGCAACTCTGTGCTCGCTGCACGATCCGCGCCGTATTTCTTAATATTTCGGGTAATCTCATCGTCGGCCGGCGCATTCACCGTCAGCGTAACAACATTGTTGCTGTTGGCGGCCGCTTGGCGTGCAGCTGGCACTGGTGCCACGCCTGGTGGCGCTGATTGTATGGAGGCGGCACGTTGCCGCATGGCATCCGCATTGGCATTGCCGCCGCTGCTGCTACCGCCGCTTGCACGCTGCGGCAGTGGCACATTTTCGTAAATTGGCTCAATGGAGCCATTCATCGCGCTACGTTGCAACGGCGTCGGCGTTGTTGCCGCTGCCGGCTGTGGACTGCTCGCTGGCGGTGGTGCAGAGCTGCGATAGCCACTGGGTGGCAGTGTTGGTGAACTGCAAGATAAAACGAGAATTGAAGTAAGTTAATCCATTATAAGCTATGATAATAAACGGAGACAAATAATGAGGAAAGTCTTGCAAGTCTATGACTACTTTCTAGAGGGACTCATTGCTAATCTTTCGATCACTGTGTGGCTGATTCACCTTTGGACCGCTGCAGCTGCGGCGGCCGCTTGACTCATTGCCGACTGGCGGAGCTGGGACATAATGGACGGCTGCTCCTCGATCATGTTGAGGTTCTCAAAGGTGCCGTGCGGCGGCAGATATGGTTGCGAGTGGCCCATGTGGCTAATGTACGGATACTGATGCAACATCGTGGCACCCGATGAGGTGGGCACATTGCCACCACCACCACCACCAACACCAGCACCACCGCCTCCGCCATGCACACCGCCGGCAGCAGCCAAGGCGACAAACTGACCGCCATTGAGTAGATTGCGATTCGACACCAGATCGGGCGATGAACCCGAAACATAATTGCGAAAGCCTTGCAGTGGTCGCGGCGTCGCCACGGCCAGATCCGGCGTGGAGGAGGAGCTCAGCCGATTCACTGGATACGGTGGCGGCGCCTTGTGCCGCATCATTTGCATACGCTGCGAGAGCTCCAAGTATGCAGAAGGCTGTTGCTGCTGCTGTTGTTGCTGCTGCTGCTGCTGCTGTGTCTGGTAGAGATTGAGATGATGATGATGCGCATGCAGTGCAGCTGCCGGCTGTGTCACATCCGGATAACGATGTGCGGCCGTCAGATGATGACTGAACAACAAACTTTCGCCGTAGACGCCGGGATTGTGGACATCGGGCTGCGAGCCGGCATAGTAGGCGCCCGCATTCCCGGGCGTTGCGAGCGCCAGTGCCACATTGTGCAGCTCAGAGGATGTTGTGCGATACTTGAGCTGCACGGCTGTCTCGTAGTCCGGGGCTGGGCGATACGTGGGCAGCATGGCCTGCAGGCGTTCCCGTTCGTGGGGATCTGCATTGATGTTCATGTTGCTGCTGCCATTGTTGCTGTTGCTGTTGATGTTGTTATTGTTGTTGTTATTGCTGCCGCTGGCGCTGTGGTGCAGCATGCTGTTGCTGCTGTGCAAATTGTTGTTGCTCAAGTCCAAACAGCTGCTGCTCTGCCCCAAAAGCTGGCTGTGACTGGCAGCGAGCGAAATATTTGATGATAGCAGCTGTTGCTGCTGATGTTGCTGTTGTTGCTGCTGCTGCTGCTGCAACTGTTGCTGCAATTGTTGCTGCTGCTGCTGGTGTTGTTGCTCCGCTGCTGCCATATAATCATATTCCACGTAGCCAACGCTGTCGGCGCCCAGAGTGCAGTGACCATTGTTGCTCTCGATGTCGGCGCCAACGCTGCTGCCCAAACTGGAAGGCGTCTCTGTGTCGATGTAGCGCTTGAAGAACTTGTGCTGCATGATGCACAGCTTCCAGAAGTAGCGTGCCACGTCCGCCTCGCTAAAGATAAAACTGCCGACGATGCTGCCATCGCCATCGATTTTATTCTGTTCGATTTTGATGGTGCGCTTATCAATGGTCACCGTGTGGAAGTCCTTCCACGGAAAGTACTGTCTGCCATTGTCCGCATTGACGACCATCCCATTGATGGCCAGACCCAGCAGCAGATCATTGCCGAGCGTATCCTTGGCAGCGAAACGCTCCTCGCCATATCCATCCAACTGCTGACAGCACTGTATGTACATCTCCTCCGCCTGGCTCTGGGTCAGATGCTCGATTCCCGCATGCTGCTGCAACACCTCCATAATCAGGCCATCCAGCATGCTGTCATCGTTGGCCAATCCCTGCATGTTGCGCGGCAGCACGAGTGACTTTTTCAAATAATCCTTGGGCTGCTTGTCGCCCTGATAGCTATCGTACTCGGCCTTCCGGCAATAGAGCGCCAGGAGGATCGCTGTGCGTATATCGCAAGCGATGCGTCCCTCATAAATGTCGCTCTTCAGCTGCAGAAAATAATAGAAACGCGTCGCTTCGTCATTCAGATGACGCACTCCGGTTGTCACATAATGTCGCACTCGCAAGTACATCTTTGGTGCGGCGGCATATTTGTCACGCTGCCGACTGAGCGAACGCTCCAAATCGATCCATTTGTATTCGTCCTCCTTGTCCTTGACCAAATAGCGCAGGCCAAAGAATTCCGGCTGCTGGATGAGCAGACGCTGGCACACATTATCCAAGCACTCCTGGCCCTTGCTCTCCGAGCTGATGGTGCAATCAACGGTGCTCGTGGTGTCTATCAAAGATACAAAACGAATATTTCAAAGACAGATACACATAAAATACGTGCGCAGATAAAACTCAACAGCAACAACGAAATGTGCTTGGCAACTCACAGCACGCGCAAATATGCACACATCGACGATATAATATTTGTATGCCATATACATATATAGAAATTGTTTTTGTTGTCTAATCGATTTTGGGATTGCCATTTATGTTTTTATTGAGCCACCAGAAACTCCAAACGGAAATCATTTTTATGTTGTTGTTGTTGTTGATCACTGTTAGCTAACAGCGCCTGGCTGTTAACTGAGTCGCATAACAAATCAAATCAGACGATTGCATACCAAATGAGTATATGGATAGCAATACTTCATTCATTTAAACATTCTTAAGCAATATTGACTTGATTGCAAACATTATTTGTATAATTTTACTTAAAACAAAGAAGCATAGAAAAAGGCATGTCACTGTTAACAGATTAACAGTGGCGCAACTGGTTAAAAAGATGGCAAAATTGCTGTATATGGTAAACGTATGTTGTTGTTGCTGATATGTTTTGGCAAAAGCGAATTCCACAAAACTGGTCATAAAACGAAAGCCGTTGCCAAGATAAACGCGCTGCTTATCTGCACTTGTTGTTGTTGTTGCCATTTCATAAAATAAATTAGTTGACACACACAATTAGGTGTTTCCAATTAAAAGCGCTCAAATGACTAAATAAATCAACAAGTGTACAACAAAAAAGAAGAAAAACTTCGCGTGTCTTGTTGCTGTTGTTGCTTCTGTTATTTGTATGGGCTCGTGCAATTGAAACTTGTGGAGTGCCGTTATTGTTATTGATAGTCTTCTTCTTGCTGCTGTTTTCTTGTTAGTGCCAGGCTGATACGCCCCCCACACACACACTTGCACACACAAATAGACACACACTCACCTAGCAAATGATGCACAGATATAACAAATAAACTTTTTGACGTCACATTATATTGTCGACATTTTTTAAATAATTTCAGTGGCATTTCCGTGCCGTTTTCTACACACTCCGTTTTTGACAATGTGCAAAACACGCTGCGCTGCTTCTGCTCCTCTCGTTGTTGTTGGCTTTTGCTGCTGTTGTTGTTGTTGTTGGCCAGCAGGTATAAAAGACATTTGCATGTAAATTACACAATTGGTTTTCTAGTTGGTTATTTTTCAAGCTGATTGCGTACAGCTTATAAGGCACTTTGAATCAAACACAGTTGCGTACACACTTAGCATTAAATCGTAATTATAAAAGCTAATTGAAAGTCATTTTAAATAATAAATAAAAGAGTTAACAAAAAAAAAACTAAAAACGAAAGAGTAGTTTGATAGTGGTATCGAGTAAGCGAGTGAGTACAATGGCTGGCTGTTGGCGATTGCAGCATTATCGATGCTCAATGCGTTCGCTGTTAACTTAATGTTAAGCAATAACTTGCTGGCATTTAATTGATGCTAAAACTTGTTAATTAAATAGTATATATATTGGCTTTCTATCTACTTTTAATTTCTATCAGTACTTCGTCAGTTTAATAATAATTATTATTAGTTTCTAATGGTCACTAATATTTTGTCCGCCCTCGAAACGATGATCTGCATACTATGCTTGCCTGGGTAGATTTCGTTAAGTTTACTCACTTGACGATAGACCGGCGATGAATAGCAGCAGCACCATTTGAGCAACAATAACAGTATCACTTTGTTAAAGCTGCTGATCGGACGTGAGTCTTTTTTCTTTTGCTGCTTTTAATTGGCATCGAAATAAGCACAAATTATTTATAAATTGACGTACGATATCAGTTTAGCTTTAACCAGACACGGACACGGGTCTGTTATTAAACGAGCAACAGCCGCACGCGCGTTACACTGTAATTAGCCAAGTACGCGTACTAACTCATAGAAAACAACACACACACTTATATATACATATACATATGTACATATGGATGTGTAGGTACGTTTTGTCGTTGTCGCTGTAGTTGTTGTTGCCTATGCAGGCGTTGTCGTGGCTTCCAATTTAACTAAATAAAACAAATTAAGCGCTCGCGAGACAAAGAGTGAGAGAGAACACCCGAAAAAAGGAGGGCAACATAAATCGTATAAGGCGCATGCACAAACGTGTCCAGATCCAATTAGCAGTGTAAGTTCTACGCATTTATACACATATATATATATATAGATATAGTTACATACACGAAAAAGTATCTTCAACCAATTGAGAATTTCGTTTGCCGCTTTTGATGGTCAAGGTTACACCGCCAAGATGAGATCAATACATACACACACACATACACACAGGCAGACAGTTCCACAAAAACCCCCGCATGTGTATCTATATACATTGTACATCTACACTGCCCTGTCTGCCTATGTGCGTGCGCACGAGACAGCAGATGTAATATTGATTACCTGTTGCTGGTTCGCTTTGAGTGTGACTGGGACTGAGACTGTTAATAAACAGGTTGCATGCTCATCCAATTTGAGGTTACATCTGACTGACCAGCAGCCCTGTCTTGTTTGCACTCTCGCTGATTCTCCTCTGCTCAATACATGTGTGTGTGTGGGTGTGTCTTCTTTATATATAAATATATATTTGTTGTGTGCCATACGCTCTCTGAGATAAAACATTCCTGGAATTTGCTCTTTGATTTAAATGCTGCAATCTGTTAGCTGTCAGCTGTCAGCTGTTTTCTGTTATTCTTTTTTGCGACTGGTTAATTCGTAATATACGCCAATGATTTTATTAATTGTTTATAATTACCACGTACTGATATTTTTATAGACATACACAAATGGGAACTATAAACTGTGTTGTTATTAAATGCCAAGACAGTAAAGCTTGTCTACAAAATTGTATTTTTACATTGTTGCAATTAACATTGTCCGACAAATGTTAATTTTTACTTTAACATTAAATGAACAGCAACAAGTCAAAAGTTAGACTCAAATTGACTTCAAAGCTCAGGGTGAATATGAAACTACATCCACAAAAATGAAATTTAAAGTTTCTTGACTTATCAAAAAGTTTTTTTTTTTTTGCATACATATTCATAGATGTGTGTGTTTAAAGCTTAAACTTTGCACGTTTCGTGCTGTTGACCAAATCAAACCAAACCGAAAATACAAAAGCAACTGCTAATTTGACTTTGAACCAAATAATAGCGAGTGTTGAATTTGTTTCTTGTTTCGGTTTTTAATTCGTTAAGTTGTTGTCTTTAACCTTGACCTCACCCCAACCCCCGCCCGTCCCCCTCTACCCACAATTAATCGTTTGCTGCCAAATACTTATGACTCCACTGCAGTAGCCGTGTGCTTAACCCCTCGCAGCACACAACACTTGAAACTGCCGCAACGTGGAGGCGAACAACAATTTCAACGTGCCAACGACTTTTCACACCGATAACAGAAAAAAATGCAAACACAAACACCACATAAAAAATGCTCATTCATGCTTACTATTTAGTTTAATGACTCGCACACACTTGCTCGTCACGTTCTCAATAACTAATCTCAGTCTGTGAAACATGGAGCAACCCTCTTTACCGGCTATGAAATTCGCCAACTCGGCGTTCGTTTGCAAAATTACGTTGTTAATACAAAACACGCACGTAATTATATTTAAGTACACATGGGTACATATTTAGATATATATATATATATATACTAATCAAGTGATTTTTTAGATAGGAACATTGAAAGGAACGACTTTAAATCTCAAACAAATTAGTTGTGGAATGATTGCCTGTCTTGTTTTATTTTTTTCATAAATAATAAAAACAAATCGAGCGCTTTTTTCATATTTTTTGCTCCGTTTTGGAGGCGGGAAATTTATTTTATTTTATATGAAGCTAATTTATATTCGACAAAAAGAGCAATATCAGCTAAGGCCTTCAGGTCATTGAAATGAGAAATTGATTTTTAAAAATACATTAATATAATATATTTGTTGAATGAGCTGCATGAATCATTTAACATATCCGCCGTGTCTGTTTTTTACCTGTTGCCTATTTGCAATCTTATCATTTGTGCTCTTGAATTTGCTGTGATTGTGCGTAATAAGAATATGTTGTTATGTTGTGCACTATATCTTTATAATGGTTGGATTATGGTCAGTCTGAGTACAAAAGTACATGTGTTAATTAAATATGCACAGAACTCACGTAGCCCACGGTAAGCCAAAGGAAATATACAAAACTATAAATAAGACTATGTAAACAGATGAATAAACTCTTAAAAATAATTATTTTGAGTTGTGAATAGAATATATTTAAAAGAAAAGGTTCTTTTGCATTACAATATGATGACTTAGTTGCGATCCAATTGAATTTCACATCTCCATTTACTACATATTATGACAGCAATTGTGAACCCGATGGCGTCACACATCACCAAAACATTGTAATTCTGACCTACAACAAACTATTGAACAGCAGCTTTTCCCCGGTTTGCTGTCTGTCTGCCACTTGTCATAGAAAGTCGATGCCGTTGAACGAAGTCGCATTATTTGTGGTGGCTACTCAACTGGTGGTTGACCATAGAGCAACCTTTCCTTGTGCTGCCAATTCGACGCTGCTCGAAGGCAGTCCCGCCTTTGATTTGCATACGCGTCGTCGATTGTCGTCGTCGCTAGCAAATGTTTAATATTTATTTTTTTGCCATTTGCTGACCAGCGCCGATCACAGCAACAAGAACTATACATTGCAAGAGCATTTTCTATGCACAAATACGAACGCACGTAGCCCGAAACCCATTAGACATTAAAAACCATGCCCACAATTCCAATTCAAGGTGCAACGTCAACGTATTTTTAATGATTGCCTGATTTTTTTTCTCTATATATTTGAAGCGAAGATCAACGGGGATCAGAAAGATAAATATTAACATCTAAATTTTGTAGTACTAATTAACAAAAAAAATATTTATATATTATAGCGCAAATTAATAAAATATATATATGAGCTAAATATTGTGGCGCAAGTTAACAATGACTCGGTTAAATTGGCACAAACAATTAATATAGATTTGAAAACCTTAAAAAAAACATTTCAAAACAATTTGCTTATCAGAGACAACAGAACACGTTTAAGAAAAAAAACGTATGTAAAATATTGTAAAGAAATTATATGAAATATCGCTACTTTTTTGCATGTCTCAATTTATTTTTACGATTCTTAAATATAATTTAAAGTCAAAAATAATATCTAAATATTATAAATATTAAAAACCAGATTTTATTTTATTTTTTTGATCCGATAAATTTTGACTGTCTGGCAGATAAATATTTCGTATTGAATCAAACCTGTTATTTATTTTGAATGCATTATATTTTTTGTTGATTATTTGTATACATTTTTAAAAATATTCTTATAATTAGATTCAATTAAAATGGGTTAAGGTCATTTGCAATGTATGTAATTTACGTACAAGAAAGTAAGTTAATAAATAATAGAACACTATTTCTAGCTTTCCATGAAATGCGATCAAGCAGGTCACGAACAGATTAAAGGTTAAATTTGTACTCACAATGATATGACGTAATAAACACGCTGCCATGTGAAAAGGGGAAACAACAGAAAACGTTGACAAAAATGAAATTCAGTGCGTCATTTTGAAATAGAACAAAATAGGTATTTCTCTTTATCATTGTGAGTACGCTCGTGCTCTTATCTGTGCAAATTTTTAGATGTTATATATTTATTGTTGCTGTGCAGTTGTTGGCGATTAATTTGACACTTAATCGTCGCTGTAGTTGATAAGCGCGATGCGGTTTGCCATAAAACTGTTGTGTCCAATGGGCTGTGCTGTTGGTTAACAGCGCGCTGTTACGGCGAGCAGACGAAGGTGAGCAGCAGCAGGCAGCAGTGAGTCAACCGTTAACTTGAATAGAAAACAAAAATAGCAAACAAAATAAAAACTATTATTAATTGCATCAAAAGATTAGGTGTGTTTTATAATAGACTGGCCAATAACAAACAAGTTGCAACATGCAATCCATAGGGTCAATGTCAATGTAGCCATTGTCTTGATAGACAGAGACTGACAGAGTGCAAAAGTGTGTATGAGAGACAGAGAGATTAGCGATCGTGTGGTACCGTTAGAGCAAGTGCGGAAGCGCGTTTGCCGTTAGGCGCCTGCGGTCGCATGCAAAATAGTCAGGCAGTCACCAGACTGTACTCGCATTCTACCCTGTACATTTCTACATGGGCTGAGCGGGTATGCCAATTTAAGGAGACTTTCACAACTTACAAGAGTTTATTATACTTTTGATCGGTACAAATACAAGAACCGGAGCCCACTATCGATAAATATCGATTACAAAAGTAAAGTTTACAGCACATAGAACGAGTTTAGGACTAGGTATCTTTTAGCCGACACAAATTGATTTTTTCTTATTTTTGTGTGTGGCATACGTGGAATAAATTAAGTGCGTGCTCAAAGTGCGATATGTAAATATTAAGAAGACAGGCCACCCTTGCTACCCCCTCGAGTAGCTTACCCCTATCCACCCCACCCCGTTGCTCGTGCAAAGTGTATGCAAAACTTTTGAAACTAACACGCAACTTTTTTTGGTTTTCTGTTCGCTTTGCAGTCAGACTTTAAAACATGGCCAGTGAGCAGACACCGATGGATGGAGCCGGAGCTGGAGCAGCTGCTGCTGTTGCTGGGGATGAACCGTTTTTGGGGCTGCTCGATGTGGCACTGCTGGCGGTGCTGATCGGTGGTGCTGCATTTTATTTCCTGCGCAGCCGCAAGAAGGAGGAGGAACCCGTTCGCAGCTATTCCATCCAGTGAGTCATCAAAACTATTTGCTGACTCTTGAATATTTAGTTATTAATAATTGATTTAATCTAATCGAATCGCTTAGGCCAACCACAGTGTGCACAACGACAGCGACGGATAATTCGTTCATCAAGAAACTGAAAACCTCCGGTCGTAGTCTGGTCGTCTTCTATGGCTCACAGACGGGCACCGCTGAGGAATTTGCTGGTCGATTGGCCAAGGATGGTATACGGTATCGGTTGAAGGGCATGGTTGCCGATCCCGAGGAATGCGATATGGAGGAACTGCTGCAGCTGAAGGATATCGAAAACTCATTGGCCGTCTTCTGCCTGGCCACCTACGGCGAGGGTGATCCCACCGACAATGCCATGGAGTTCTACGAATGGATCACCAGCGGTGATGTCGATCTAACAGGCCTCAATTATGCGGTAAGTGCACATACTCCTGATAACGCTTGTCTGCCGCTGTTTGTTGCTGTTTCAATCTAACTGCCACAGACCGATTACATGAATCGCATAGCCTTGCGAGTCTGACTCTTATCAATGCTGATAAGGGCACTTATCATTAAATAACACTCTACTCGTATTCCTACTGTGTGTTGAGTGTCTAATAACTTTTTTTTTGCAAAAGCAACAATCAGCAGAGATTTTCAAACTATTTAATATATGCGTGAAGTGCACAAGTGCTAGAAAAATAAATTAATATTGAGTAGCGGGAAATGAACACTGTTAAGCGTGACAAATCTCGGACAGTCAGTCAGTCAAGCTTGTAGGCCATCAATTATAGATTATTAGCGGAAATACATTCTTTTGTTGAAATTGAGATTAACCGAGATAGTTAGAGTGAGACTGAGGGGGAGATTGTTAGATTAAAAAGTAATGATTCGATATAATAAAAAAAAAAAATGAAACCTTGATCAATTATAAAATCTTGTTCATTGCACATTGCATTTTCATAATCTAGAGTGCAAAATAATTTTAGTAAAAAAAATTTAATATTTTCAGATTGCCATTAATAAGTTTATTATTACACAGCAAAAGTAACAAATTAGCTTATTTGGTGCAACATTTTTTGAAGCAGCAATGTAGCATAGCATATTGTTTAGTTGAAAAAAAGAAATTTACTTAATACAAAAACTGAATATTATTTTGGCTAATGCTAAACATACGCAGTATATTTTGTGACGTCACGCATGTTTAGTTAGTGTTAAGAATGCTCGTCTACCTCGCATTGCCATTCTGTTAAGTGCTTAACAGGTTCTGTCAACAGTTCTGTAGTTGGTCACACTGCTGCGTGACAGATGTTCTCACAACGTGCACACTTCGTTCGCACAACTGTTGCGCAATTTTGTTTGCAGCATGCATTCTGAAATATTGTAATCTTGTTGATTCGCATTTGATGAATGAAAAGATTTGCCATGTAAAACGTTTCCGATTGCGCTTGCTTTGCGACAAAATGTGCGCAGCAATGCTGAACACGCTCGTCAGTGCCACGAGCGCCAGTGTCGCATTTGGCCTTGGCACGCGCGGCTGCCTGTCAATGAGGCGCACTTTGATCTGGCTATTAAATAATTTATGTAATACACACAGCACGACAACAACAGCAACGACAACAACAGCATCAAGTGCCCATCAGCACGGGGTAATTGAGCATTGTGTGACTACCAATTGTTATAACACTTGCACTCCGTTGTTTGCAATACTTTCAGGTATTTGGTCTGGGCAACAAGACTTACGAGCACTACAACAAAGTTGCCATCTATGTGGACAAGCGATTGGAGGAGCTCGGCGCGAATCGCGTCTTCGAGCTGGGACTCGGCGATGATGATGCCAAGTGAGTAGTCGCCCATATTCTCAGCATTAATGGGATTTTGTTTTTTTTTACTAATGCTCTAAATTCTTCGCCATTTTTATAGCATTGAGGATGACTTTATCACGTGGAAGGATCGCTTCTGGCCCGCCGTCTGTGATCACTTTGGTATTGAGGGCAGCGGCGAGGAGGTGCTGATACGTCAGTATCGTTTGCTCGAACAGCCCGATGTGCAGCCGGATCGCATCTATACTGGCGAGATTGCTCGATTGCATTCCATGCAGAATCAGCGGCCGCCATTCGATGCCAAGAATCCATTCCTGGCCCCAATTCGTGTCAATCGTGAACTGCACAAGGGCGGCGGTCGCTCGTGCATGCACATCGAGCTGAATATTGATGGGTCGAAGATGCGCTATGATGCCGGTGATCATGTGGCCATGTATCCCATCAATGACAAGTCGCTGGTGGAGAAACTTGGCCAGTTGTGCAGTGCCGACTTGGATACAGTCTTCTCGCTGATCAACACCGATACGGACAGCAGTAAGAAGCATCCGTTCCCATGCCCCACCACTTATCGCACGGCGCTGACTCACTACTTGGAAATCACGGCCATTCCACGCACGCACATCCTCAAGGAGCTGGCCGAATACTGCACGGATGAGGCGGATAAGCAGCTGCTGCGCAGCATGGCTTCGCTGACGCCGGAGGGTAAGGAGAAGTATCAGAGCTGGATACAGGATGCGTGTCGCAATGTCGTCCACATACTGGAGGATATCAAGTCATGTAGGCCGCCATTGGATCATGTTTGCGAGCTGTTGCCTCGGCTGCAGCCGCGCTACTATTCGATATCGTCGTCGGCCAAGCTACATCCAACGGATGTGCATGTGACCGCTGTGCTTGTCGAGTACAAGACGCCCACGGGTCGTGTTAATAAGGGCGTGGCCACCACTTACCTGAAAAACAAACAGCCCACAAATGGGGGCGAGGAAGTCAAGGTGCCGGTCTTCATACGCAAATCACAATTCCGGCTACCCACAAAACCGGAGACGCCCATTATAATGGTGGGTCCGGGCACGGGTCTAGCACCGTTCCGTGGTTTCATCCAGGAGCGTCAGTATTTGCGCGACGAGGGCAAAACGGTGGGGGAGTCGGTGCTGTATTTTGGCTGCCGCAAGCGCAGCGAGGACTACATTTACGAGGCTGAGCTGGAGGAGTGGGCCAAGAAGGGCACACTCACGCTGAAGACGGCCTTCTCGCGCGACCAGGCCAAGAAGATCTACGTGCAGCATATGCTCGAGCAGGATGCAGATCTGATTTGGGATGTGATTGGCGAGAAGAAAGGACACTTTTACATTTGCGGGTGAGTTGGCGCAGTCCCTATCCTCTCCCATTCCCTTATATTATGCTCTATCTAATTCTATTTCCAATTCCTGCAGCGATGCCAAGAATATGGCTGTGGATGTGCGAAACATTCTGACCAAAATTCTGTCCACCAAGGGCAGCATGAGTGAGGCGGAAGCCGTGCAGTATCTGAAAAAGATGGAAGCCCAGAAGCGTTACTCGGCCGATGTCTGGAGCTAATCGCCGAGAGATTAGTTCTCTCTACTCCTCGTCTACCCCATTTTATATATCTCTGACTGAGTCAAAGTCGCGGAACAAAGCAATGAAAACAAATGGAAAAAGAAAGCAAAGAAAAAAAAAACTAGAAAGAAGCCACACATTTTTTACATAAGAAGTAAAGTCGATTTAATTAATTAAGCTATATAAATTAATTATATTAATCGGTTTGGGAACTCCAGCTGCGGTTCAACAAACAGCGTTTTAAGTAACGTTTATGCCTAATTTTTAGCGTTAAATTGATTGATTATATAAATATGATATGATGACTTTTAATTATGTTGCACTCAGTGAATTGGAGTGATTGATGTTAATTATTATTGAGAATGATTGTAATTATTGTAAGTAGCCCTATATATACGTATGCAATTAATTGAAATGTTCGCTGCTTTTCAATTTAACTTGTGTACTTTTCTTTGGTGATTTCATGAAAACAAATGAAGTAATTTGTGCAATTTTAATCAATACAAAATTGTATTTTGTTTCCAACCGTAAGCGAGAAATAAATGTTAAACAAATTTTTACAACAATTATTGCTGTAATGCATAATGCAAAGTTCTTAATTGGTTTACAGAACAAGCAGCATTTTATTTATTTTCTTTTGGTTCTTTAATTTGCTCGTTTATTGTATTTTTCAAGGTCTGGCAACGCAAAACGACAGGTAATTAAAAAAAAGAACTATATATACGGACATTACTACTTTTGGCACAGCTGTTGTTATTCAATCGAATAATTCTTTCGAATAATGAATTGAAATACTTCTGTCAAAATAATAATTAAATAAAATGTAAATTGTGTGATCAGCAGGCGAATTCGGCCAGAGAACTCTGGCAGCACTGGCAACCCGGTATGCAACGGTAAAACTGAGCAAAGAACAAAAATCTGTGAAAAATGCGTGTAATTGTTTTAAATCGTTTTTATTTATACAAACTGTGTTTTTATATCAACTAAATATATGTGCAATGTTTGTAAACTAAGCAAAAAAAAATTATAAAATAATAAAATCGTAACCTGGTGAGTGAGTTATTTATCATTATTATTAATATTATATATCAAAGACACCAGCGCGCTCGAAATGCGGCAGAGTAAAACGCAGAATTTCGCCCAAACGGTCAGAGTTGAACATTTGTTCGGCCTTCTGCTTGGCAAAATTTTCATCGCTTAAGTTCTCCAGATTGTTGTCGCTGGTCTGTGCCTTGTCCTGGCTAACGATGGGCAGAATGCCATAGCTGGCAAAGAAACCGAACGCTTCCCGGCGATGCACCTCGGCCAGCAGTTGCTCGTAGCTGGGCACCGGCACGCCCATATCCAAACGGCGAAGCGTTGCGGTCATGCGATTGTGATAACATCTTAGCAGTTGCGGCCGCTTATGCTTGAGCACATCCAATTCGAGGCTGGTGTAGAAAAAATAATTTAAATCCAATCCGGGACTGCCCCAAACGCTCATCTGATAGTCAATGAAGATCGCATTCTGCACTTGTTTCTTGCCGTCATATTTGAAGAGTATGTTGTTGACCCACATATCACCATGATTAAGCACTCTAATTTCCTTGTCCATTACAGCCTGGGAGCGTACCAAATGTTCGCGCTGCTGCACCAAATATTTTTCAATCTTTTCCGCAATGCGCTCGTAGCCCGGCCACCTGCTGACCAACTTATGCAGCTGTTGTCCATGGCCGGCGAAGAAGCGCATCAGCATCCTGTCCTCTTGCAAACATTTTGGTGATAACATGCCATCGCCATAGGCTTCCATGATTTTGGGATCCTATAGATAATCAATAGACAAAGCTTTAACTATTGTTACAAATGTGGAATAACATTTTCCTATTTATCTGACTTTACTTCCATTTACGAATTTTTTAAAACATCCAACTTAAGCATTGGTGACAACAACTTGATTGAATCCTGTAAGACTTTTTCGAAAGATAAGTTTTTGGGAAAAGGTGCAAATATAGATTTTTCCTCAACATATTTTTCTACACTTTGCGACTGCCTTTTATACTTTGATAGCGAAGATGTTAATAGTATATTGGGATTGGGCAATGTCCGTCATGCTGTCTGTATGAACGCAACTTTCGAGATAGTATAAAACAGTATAAAACTTCGAAGAAACGATGCGAGCTTATATCTATCGCAAATTGAAAGGCAAACTTGGACAGTATTTCTTGGCTACACCCTGCCACCTTCCTTGCTACCCATTATAAGCTTTTATTATGGTATGGTCTCAAAGTCCCGATCGACTACAACGTTCTCTCTTGTTACTTTTATTACTCTTACATACACTTACTCTTTTATTGCGTTTGCACCTTCGTTACACGTTTTACCTTTCAAATAAGCTTTATGGCATTGTAAATTAGTTACTTTCCGATTGATTAAATGTATGACATAATAGGTATATTGACTCGGATTTTAATGCTCATCAAGTTCAATATAATAATACTCACTAATTTGTATACCCTTTTAGGGGGAACTATAATTTGTCGTAAAGTTTGTAACGCATAGAAAGAGACGCCTCAGGTACCACAAAGTAAATATGTTCTTGACAAGCCTTACTATCCGAGTTGAAAAGCCATATCTGTCGTTCCTTCTGCCCGTCTAGTCATTTGTCCGACCAAGTCGAAAGATTTGATCTTGTATGAAATCATTTTTTTAACAAGATACACAGGTATCTACATTTTAAACCCACATTTGGCCATAAAAGTATTATCATCGGACTAAAATCGATTGAAGAATGAGTCAGTATATAAGTTGTTGCATCGAAGTATCAAATACACAAATGTCGGACATTCGCAGTTAGCCATGAACAAGGTGTAATTATAAATGAATGTTTACAAAAAAAAAAAACCAAAATTAATATCTTGACGGCGGGGCTAAACAAGTTTTGTGGGGTTTTACAACTGTAAATAAATCACAATAATTTATCTTACTCCGTCCTCTATCTTGTTGACTTTATTTTGAATGTAGAAAGAATATTTTTCATTCGGCCTTCAGTCTATGCGCATTGTGTGACTTACCAGAATTGCCAGCACCATGGAAGAAGCGTGAAACTCGGCCAGCCGTTCCAAAACCAAACGACAATGCTCCTCATCCAGACCCGCTTCGCGTGAGCCCATCACATAGCCCAGCTGGCCCAGATCCTCGAAGGCGAGCGCGTTCTCCGGCAGCCTTATGCACTGATATAGTCTGAAAATTGATATTTTTAAATGTCATCCATTTTATGCTTTGACATAATTATTTGCTCTCACTTTGGCCCAAAGCGTACTTTGCATTGCATGAGGAGTTCGAGGCGTGGCAGCACCTCAAAGTATGTGCACTTCTCTTTCAGATACACCTGCAAATCCTCTATAAACTCCACATTATCAATGCGCGGTATGCTCTTGACAATTAACGCCAACTGTTGCTCCTTTTGTGGACTTTCATCATCCTGTCGCTTATAATTTATGCGCACACGATAGATTTTGCTGCAATAGTTGTCGCCGTTGCAGCTGCCTATGCCACAGTGAATGCCCACAATTTGAGCGCGGCTCGTGCGCAACGCCGTCTCCAGCGCCTCCTCGAAGAAGGGCACATCCAAATGTTTGGGAGGCGGCGAGTCCTCCATCAGCTGCTGATCGTATTCAATGCTGCACATGCTGCTGCGATCGAATATGCGAATACATTGAGCAGTTTTGTCGTCGCAGCTCGTATTTTATATGAGGTACTCAGCGCAGGCATTGTCTTTTGCGTTGTCATCGAGCTTAATTTATATAATAAATTCAAACAGTTATAGGTGTATGTGTATGTTTATAATTTCACTTAAAACGCGATAACAGCGAGTAGCTGACTAAGTTTACAAAGCTTGCTTACAGACTGACACGGAATTCTCTAAACCAGTTTGCTTGTTTGGCCGAGTTTGCCTTTGTAGCATCTCTCCCGTCGACTGGTTTGCCTGACAGACTGTCGGACGGTAGGAAATTGCCGTAACAAGGCCATCGATCCGATTGTGCCTACCTTGATTATTATTGCGCCTGCCTATCAATGCCATTGCAATTCTTATCGTACAGCTGATGGGAGATAAGCTAATGCCAAACACGTAGAACCGAGTCTATCATTTAGACTCGAGTCACTGTAAAGCATCTCTCTCTCTTTTTTTGTTTTTGTGAAGTTTATTTTTATTTTCGACAGCCTAATGATAATTGTGCTAAAGCTAATCTCAACATATAATTTTTTCCATATTTGATATATCTTATTATTTGCATATTGCGTTTGTCGTAATCACGCAACTTTATTTTTGTAATCATTTTTAAGTATATATTTAAGTAGCCCAACTGACAGATTAATTTGCATGTAGCAATTAGCTATTATACAGAGAATTAACTTTCACAGTGTGTCTGTGAACCTTAAATTTGCCATTGTATTCGCAATCACAATCGTCTTCTGAATTGACACTTCTAGTACGTAGTTAAGTATAATATTCCTATCTGTGAGATTGTTATAACGTAGTCCCTTTTATTTTAATTGTTTTTATTGAAAGGCTATTTGTTCCCAATGTCAAATAATATTACACGTGAATCAATCACCAAACAGTGCTTGAAAGTACAATAAATAAAATGCAATATGAACAATGTTTTTGGGCTATTTACTACTCAATATTAAATCTCATAATTTTCTCACAAGAACTAGCATATTTGAGCTCATCAATAAAGTTGGATAATTATACGTTAAACAGGTCCGTAATAAAAACCATATTAATTGATATTATTATATATTTATGATTGCAGTAATTAATTTGTTAGAGCTTTTTACCTTTATCATCAGAATTACAGCCTTTGAAAATTGTTCATAAAAATGCCATGAGATTCAGTTAGATAAATACTAATTTATTGTTCTCGTTGATGAAATGATTTTCTAATATAACATATTATAAAATAATATAGAAAATGTGATAAAGTGATAAAGTTTGAATATCAATTTGTCACTGTTTCGCACTACAATTAATCGAAGATTTGTAAGTCATCTAAGCGCTTCAGCGTAAACTTGAGAGTTTCGAGAGTGCGTGTGTTGCCGTCAAACATAAGTTGCACCTTCTGTCTGGCAAATTCCTCATCGTGAAAATTTTTCAGTGAGTTATCCTCCGAATCAGTGCCAATCATGCTCATCAGCGGAAAGAAACCAAAGGCCACAAAAAATCCATATGCCTCCCGAGCGCGTATCTCTGCCATTATATCATCATACGTGGGGAGTGGCTGGCTCCAGGGAAGCTGCTTCAGGCAGCACACCAGGGCATCGGAGTAGGCATCTATGAGTTGCTGCCGTTGATTTTTGAGCACTTCCAGCTCCAGACTGGTGTTGAGAAAGTAATTGACATCGAAGCCCAGGCTGCCATAGAAGCATAGCTGAAAGTCAATCTAAGAGAAGCAGCCCCAATAAAACTCACTCAAACCTCTCAGCCCCATTCAACTCACTCTTACTTACAATCTTCACCTGCTGCACTTTGTACTGCTCATCGTACTTGAAGAATATATTGTTTACCCATAGATCGCCGTGGTTAAGCACATTAAATGCTCCACGCAGCGGATAAATCGATTTCAGTACACGCTCCGTAAAATGCTCATGATAGCGATAAAGTTTGCCTGTTATCGAACCAAATCCTTCGCAGTCATTAATCAATGCCGCCAGCTTCAGCAATTGTGTGCCAAAGAGCAGCTTGAATGGCTGTGATTTGATTGCATCCATGTGCAGCAATCCGAACGGATAACGATCTATTATCGTTTGCGGCTCATTGTTGGCCATCACCATGGTCAGAGCATGATACTCGGCCAGCTTGTGCATCACCAGCCTAGCATGGGCAGCGTCCAGGCCCAACTGTCGACACTTCAGCTGATAGCCCTCACAGCACAAATCCTCAAAGATAATGGTCTGCTCCGGCTGCATGGTTGAAAAGTAATGTCTGGCGTAGAGAATGCAAATTTGAATGAATAGTTGGCTTATGGCTTAAATATATTTCAGAATAAGATAATAGTTTTCATTTGCGAATGCAGAAGGAAGAATTTCTCATATTTCTGAGGATAGACTATGAGGCAAGCGACTTCATACTATGCTGATAATGTTTTCTATTTCATTCTATTAATATAATCCCCATTTTTGTAAGTTGATCAAAAATAGAATTAATCAAGTTCATCTCAGAAATACAGAAACTGTTAGGAAAGTCTGATTTATACCCATTTAGTTTGGAAACTTATATTCCAGTCAAGGGCGTTACTTTTACCGATTAGCTAAAAACCAAAAGATTCCTTAAAATTGGTTTTCACTTCTTTTACCTTTTCTGCAAATTATTCAATTGAAAAGTCATAAAGTCATATATAATTATGGAATTAAGCACTCCCTGAACGTGTATTTTCCTGCTTACCTGGCCCCCAATGACCAGGTTTCTTGGCCTGGACTTGCACGCCACATGAGCGCCTCCAGTTTTGGTTTGATGTGCATGTAGAATATGCTTTCCTTGTTGTAGATGTGAAGACGGGAGAGTATTGCCTGTTTCTCGGCCGGCATACATTTGACTATGAGCGAGGTCTCAATGAGATCCCGTTCCGTTGTCTGGTACTTTAAATGGGCCCTATATATATTACTGCAGTAGTTCTCGCCGCCTCGCGTCAGATCTGTCAGTTGAACATCAAGGATTTTGAGATCCTGCTGTTGCAGACCGTGCTCCAAGGCACGCCTAAAGAACTGCGCTGTTAGGTAGAGCGGTAGCGCCTCCGTTGTGGACGACATTATATTTGACTATGAATCAGTTTGAGCTCATCAATGAGCACTTTATATGGAAAATCAAAGTCACTTCCAATTGACCCCAATGGAACATCTTTAGGTGCATCTGCTTGCAGTTTTATTGGCTTAATGAAAATGCATTCTATGTCTCGACGCTGGATTAGCGGTGACTTCTTTTGAAGCACTCTCTTGCTTCAATTTGTATGTTCAAGCTTATTCAAATAAAGTATATTGAAAATGAAACATTTATATTAATATATTTGAGTATGCCTAAAATGTATATTAATATATTTGAGTATGCCTAAAATGTAATAGCTCAGTATAACTAGGAATATGCTATACAATTTCTTATTTTTAATGAAATTCATTTGCATCTACTAAAATCTCTCTTCTTGTTATCTATTGTCGATTTCTTGTATATCTTGAGGTAAGGTAATCATGGGTAAATATGCAGATAAGCCAATTAATCCGTAAACTTTTCGGGCTCGCGCTATCAGAGTAAATATATATTATGTATTCCAAGACATCCCTAAATGATTTGCAAACATATTTGTGGTTTTCTGGTAATATATGATTTTATAATAAATAATTACGGGAAGAAGATTAAGCACACATGCATATCTTTCTTTTAATCAAGTCATATGAGTGAAATAGTAACCATTTATACAGAGATTAATTACTGACCAACTTTTGTCGCGAGTGGATAACATTTTTTGAGTTTAATTAATAACATATTGTCGCGAGTACAAACTTGTAAACAGCACTGCATTCAATTGTTTTTTGATGCTTTAATCGGCTTCCCTAACCAGTCGCTAAGTCATTTGCGTTCATTAGGTTCACTCAAGAAACACATCCATGCTAGATCATTTTAATTGAACTCTGGTCTAGTAGCAATTAATGTGCTCGACAACTACTTATGTGTGTGTGTGTGTGTGAGTTTGTCATAAGGGTTGATGAACCAACTGCCCCAAATGGCGCTTCTGTTTGGTAATCCCCAAAGACACCCAAATCCTCAGCGCGTTTGAAGCCCCATTTACGATAGTCATTTGGAAACGTTTGTTGGAAAATTATATGCATTTGATTTTGCTTAAAGCTTTCATCCTGCATGCTCTCAATACTAGTGGCATTTAACTATTATTTCGAAAATCACAGCATATATTGAGCACATATTATTGAATTCACATAGTTTATGCATTAATTTGTAAACGGTGCACTTTAAAAAGTCTCAATTTATTAAGTCGTAAATATGTACAGATGTTTTAATAAATTTATAGAGCAGCATTAAGAACGTGTTTTTGTTTAATATAATATTCTGGAACCAGCAGGTAACTTCTCTCAAAGAAGCTTCCAAAAGTGGTGCCTTTTTAATCAGCCAATACAATATCTTCTCATACCTTCTAAATATACTACTATATTTAATGAGCTCTCTAACTATAGATGCACATCAGCTTATGTATATGTTGGTGCCTCTTTTAGCCCCGAGTCCAGCCTCTGTTTAGTAATCAGCAAAGACACCCAGTTTTTCGGCGCGTTTTAGGCCCCATTTGTGATAGTCATTAAGAAACTTTTGCTTGAAGACGATTTCCATTTTCTTTTTATTAAAGTCCTCATCCTGCATGCTCTCAATACTAGAGTCGTTTGACAGCTCTTTTGGAATTGTAATCATGGGTAAAAAGGCAAACAAGCCAAAAACTCCATATATCTCTCGGCTACGCAGCTCCCAGAGTAAATCCTCATAACTAGGTATTTGCTCAAAGCGTGCATATTCCAATGCATTCCTAAATGCCTTATAGTATAGTGTGATCAGTTCCTCCCGACGCTGTTGCAGTATCTCTAGTTTAACGCTGGTGTTTAGAAAGAAATTCACATCGCAAGCGGGACTGCCATAAAAGCTCAATTGAAAGTCGACAAAGATGGCGCGTGTGGGAATTTCAGGTTGATCCACATTTTCATAGGCATACATAAAGTTGTTTGTCCACATATCTCCATGATTCAGTACGATATAGCGATCATCAGATTTGGGCTTCGAAGCAGCTACACAAACTTCTCTAAAGTTGTCCGAGAAACGATGCAAGTGATCGGTAATCTTCTCGTATCCTGGCCAGCTGGACGTGACGCTGATAAGACCCTTGAGGAAACCACCAAATATATTCTCAAAGGTATCACTTTTCATCAAAGTTTCTCCGCTTAGCATGCCGCGTTGGTATTGCTTAACAATTTTTGGATCCTTGGTGGGATATGAAATGATGATTAGTAATTTTGTAACCATTTATTCAAGTACTTGTTACCTTCTTGGCCAGCACCATAGATGCAGCATGGAATTTGCCCAGCTGCTGAAGAATGAGTGACGCATGAGCCCAGTCCAAGCCTGTCTCGCGTGAGGCCACCTTAAAACCATCCACTTTAAGATCTTCGAACACAATAGTCTGCACGGGTTTCTTTATTGAATGATAATACCTACAAAATGGTGCTAATCTAATTACTCTTTCTTTTTTTATTTTACTTTGTGAACTCACTTGGCTCCGAATCGGTCGCCACGGCTGAGAATATCCAAGCGAGGCAACACATCTGTGTAGGTTTGCTTCTCCTTGATGAAAACTTGAACATCCTCTAAGAATTTTGTTTCCTCTGTGATGGGAATTGTTTTGACTATAATCGAAAGTTTCTCTTCTATCTGGGAATCAGCGCCATCTGCCCATCGGGAAAATGTCAATAGTACTCGATAAATGGCCGAGCAGTAATTATCTCCCGGATTGCTGCCCCAAGCGAAATTGATCTCGTGCAATGTCACTTTGCTTTCACGCAAACCTTCTTCCAACGTTTCAACAAAGAATGCTTCGTTTAGATATTCGGGCACTGAAATACTTTCCACATTCTTCACAATAACCATTTTTCAAAATGTACTTTTGGAGCTTTCGTATATGGCGACGTGTTAAGTTCCCGAGAGCGACTGGTTTCCTTACTTTTGCAAACATGTCTTATATATACTGATTGTGTGCTGAGGTTTTTTTTTCGCCTCTTGGAATCATCAATAATAGAGAGCGAAGCGCGTGCGAACACTGAGTATAGACAAATGTTCAAAGTCTTACTGAGGAAATTTGATTTGACAAAGTGCTTACAAAAATAATAACTACCTGTAAACAAATAAAAGCAATAATATATAATATAGTGTGTGAAATTATCGGTTTATTGTTTAGTATTTCGCTTAGTACCTTTTTATTTTAATCTACTGTGCATTCAATGACGTCATAAGCGTGTTTGGTAGTAGACTTAAGTATATAATTAATTTAAATATTTGTCATGTATATATAAACAAGAAATATACATTTTGCGACCTGCCGCAACTGCTAAATACTTTGTTCTCAGACCGCCGCCAACGAATGGGTTACAAACTATTCTAAACTTATCGTAACTGTTTCATTAGCACATATATGATAATTACTATTGTATATATAGTCATACGAGAATAATAAAATACTACACTAAAAATTAAGTGATTGTAGACTAAGATAAACAAATGTCTGGCGCGTGTTAAGCAACACACACGTCATCATTTTGGCACAATGAGCATGGAATGAGACAGCAAAATTTTATCTTATTGTGTGCTATAACTAAGCAAAGCAAAGAATACATGTATTGTGTTTAATTAATGTTATCAATTTGCTTGAAAGTAAACAAACTTGTCTATTAAACACTTTAATTTTGTAGTTTGGGTTGTAATCCATTTAAGTACATTTAACATTCGATATTGTACATAAGTCGGTGTCGGTCGGATCGGATCACATAGTTCCCATTGATCATGAGTTTTTGGATGAGTTCTTGTGGGAAATGATGTTTGCTTAACAAAATGTACGAAAGAATCTCACCAGCTCTGTGTGCTGTTAAGCTCCTCATATTTGGGCCAAAATCTGGTTTTATTTGAATTTCTGAGAAAATATCACGAGTTCTAAGCACTAAAGAAGTTCCATATCATATAGTTACAACTGGGACTTGAATTTTATGTGTTAGTGAACTTTTCTGAGCCGAAAATAGCATATCGTGCATATCTTATCATATTAAATCTTATTTCGTTTATACGTTCCACCCTAGTTACCAACCAGTTTATTGCGCATGCGAATTGAGCAAAGTGCTGAAAAAGTCTTTGACTGGAAATCAGCCTGGTGGTGTTATCTGCTCAAATTTGGTTTATGATATGAGAGCGTGTTGTTCCCTTTATTTGCGTAATTTTCGGAGTTTAGTATTTAGACAAGAAGTGCAGTAATTTAGACCATAAATGGTCAACACTTTATGCTGGAAATTGTATGTTGGGTAATTTGATATTGGGTTATGTGCAAAATGGCACAAAATCATGAGGTTGATATATACGCTAAATTTACCACTACGCTAAATTTACCACTACTCTGTTTAAATGCCTCTTAAATTTAGGGTATTGAACAGGTGTCCACAAAGCGAGTTAATCACTATCTGTGTATGCTAAACAATACATCCATGAGTGTATATTAAGTTTATATTATATGATATTCAAAACATTTTTCTCATGCAATATCTGGTGTTGTTCTTGTAGCAAATTTTTGGAAATAACTGTATTTGCCTATGTACACCGCAGCATGTCTTGTATTCCCGTTTTGTAGTCTTAATCTGTTGTTGCCTGCGAGCAACGGTAATTGTAAGTTCCTTATGATCAAGACCTTCTTCGATGCTATGTTTAAGCTATTTTCATGAAGTAAGAGTCAGTCGCTTTTGGTCGCTTGAATCGCGTAGTATAAGTCGCATGGAGCGGACATATATTCTGTATTAAATACAAAGCTCTGAATAAATATAAACCCCAAGTTATAATACAAATATTTGTAAAACTCACAACATATTCTAGTCATGTTAATACTACAAGCTGAATCGATTGACTTCTTTTCAAATTCTGAAATTTTCTACGCACATCTTTTTAGACTTTTTCACAGTATTCTAACCGCACGCTTCTGCCTAAGTTTGTGTTGGCTTCTATCGAGATGCTCTTGGTGTTGTATTAAATGCGTTTGCAGTGTTTTTTGCTAAATAAAGAAAACGCAGCAACAACAATAACACCAACAAAATAAACGAACTTCTGCCGCCTTTTCTCCCCCATTGCTGCTGCTACTGCGCCTTGCGATATGCATCACCAGTTGCTTTTTTTCCGGTGCCATTCAGTTGGGCTAAAAAATGGGGCCGTGTGGGTGGTTCATGAAAGGCCAGTTCGCCATGTTTGCGATGTTTGGCAAATTTGCTTTTGAGTTGCCAACGGGCAAATACATATGTATATATACACACACAGACACACAGTGTGCAAGTCACGTGTTTTTGCAGTTCATGATGGCTTAATTAACTCAAATTTTAGCTACATTTTTTTTGTGCACTTTATGCTTCTGAGATTTTTGTCAAGCTATGCAGAATTTTGTGTTAGTTTTCCAGCAGAATATATAAATTTTACATTACACACGTTTAACGAAATGCATTAATAAACAAAAGCGTTTAAATGCGCGACTGCACAGAAATTAGTGACGAAGCCACGGTTGTCTGGCCACGCCACGCCACGGCTAACCTCTCCCCGTCTCAAAACTTAACCCGTCACAAATCCAACCACAGGAGCCCCCCTCCCCTTGTCTGCCGTCCTTTGAGCAGCGCTGATGTATGCGATTTTAATCGTACGCTCAGACACAAACATGATGCGAGTCCCACCTCCCCCAATGGCCAGAAACCAAAATCCATGGCAACCCCCAATGGCAAGGGACAAACGATAATGGCGCGTTGCGAGTGGAGCAGGCAAGAGGGACAACACCAAAAAGTAGACAATAACCCAGCCCAAAATTTGGAGGCAGACAGTACTGAATAAATGACCATAATCAAACACTTTACGCCTGAAAGCATGCCAGGCATCCTATTCTCTTGCCGTTGATGAAGAAAACAGCAAGCAGAAAGCAGCTGGCTAAGCTTCATACAGCGGATTTTAGATTCAGTTGTCCTATCTGTGTGCATCAAAGTAGCCGTCGCCGAATTTAATTAGTACCCTCCAATAGAGTTCCCTACTTAGACACGGTGTTTCCATTGTCTGATTGAGTTTGCCATTTGAACGTTGTTTTGTAGGGTGGTTAATTAAGATGTACTTAACCTAAAAATGAGAAAGAAAACGGATGATAGGAAAATTGGTTGAAAAGAAAAAAACCAAACACGATTTATGATCAGATGAAAAACTTCCTTTTGTGTATTTTTTTATCATAGTCAAATCGCTCATTACCATCATAACAGGGAATTATCGTACTAAATTAAGTTTCAGCGAAACGTACGACATTCTAAAGACACATCTATTTTGGTTTCTTCACGAAATTTATATCTTATTTTGGCATATCTAATCACTCCATAGATTAGGATACTTATCAACCAGTGCTTCTCTGCAACACTTATTAAATTCATATATAAATGGTACCTTCGTTTCCAATCCACATAACAGTTTTCAAGCCGCTACCGAACAGCTTAAACAATGTGTTCTCCCGTGAAACTTACGGCTCTGGCGCTGATTTTTGCCCAGTTGTTAGGCGCAATACATTGTGGAGAATACGATAATATAGATAATTGGGTCATATCCTACAAATCGAAGAATTTCCCCGAAAACGCTGTTCTCGGCGGCTTTGATCCGGCAGGCTATAGAAATTACGTGGGACGCACCTTGTATAGCGCCTCTGTTGTGCCAGCACGTATTAGAGCCGAGACTGGCTATGTCACATTTAACACCGAATCAGTCGCTAATACTGCGACCTTCTACGAAGTACTGGTTTCCAATGCAACCCTCAGCTATCATTGGGTGCACAGTTTTGATGGATTCAGGGAGGATAATGCCGTCTGTGTTGGAACGAGCTCTACCGACGAACGCGTTTATATCTGCCGGGCCAAAACTGACGGTGGATTGTTAATTGGCACATTGTATCCAGATATAAGGACATGCATCATCCGTTATGAGAATTTGCCCCTGAGAAAGTTCGAAAAATACGAGGTGCTGGTTCGAAAAAATAAATCGGTAAAGTGGATACCATTCGATAATCAAATTAATTGAAAAGATTGCCTTATTAAATGCTTGAATGAGCTTCAATGAACATTAATCAACAGATTGTTTTGTTTAATTTGTCTAAAGGTATCATAAATTGTCCTAAATTGGTATAAAAATATAAATAAAGATAATACTTACGATAATTGGTTAATGAAAGAGAATGAGATATTAATTATTTAATTGTTTTTGTCCACTGGCTTACTTAAGCTTTCAGTAGTATTTTATGTAGAAACTATACTCTTTTTATCATTTTATTCATTATACAATTCAAGCATAGTAATTATATTTATGGGAAACTTGAAATTACACTCAATTTCTGTTTCCTAAACCTAATCAGTTTTAATTTCTGAAACATTTATAAAGACAACGAGTTACAAGTGAACTTTCAATGAAAATTAACACCCAAACTTGTTATACAATATCAGCATTTCGTACACCTTTGAGAAGGGTATTAAAATGTGGTATAAAAGTTTGTAACCTATTGAAGAAGGACTGTACATGCCCCATGAACTGCAGATCCTCAGAGGATGCGCTTTCTAAACAGTCTCAATGCATAATGATCGTTCTTTTTATGTGAAATTAATTTGTAGGCAATTTTACAACTGATTTAGTTAAATGTTGCATATTTTATATTTCAAATAACTTATAAAAATTAAAAATCAAACCATTCAAGTAGAATTTAATTTTATTATGAAAAACTAGAGTTAGACAAGTAAATCGGCATGTTAACCTTATTTTTGAGATGAGAGAAAAATACAACAAATGCTAAATCGATTGTCTTTTTCTACGGATGCATATGTTCTACCCTCGATAATTGCAAGCAAATTGAGATCCTATCAGATTAGAAACACCCACGTAGTATTTTTTGTCAGAATGTCATCAGGGTACTCCCTATCGCAATAAATGAGTTTCGTAGATATGGACTATATATTGATAACCATTTAGTTATTAGTTATCAGTACTGCTTATCAGCGAAACGTGACACATTCTTAACAAAAGCTTCGTGAAATATCTTTACAAAATTTTGGAAATTTAATCAATACTTCCTTCAAGGACCGAAAACCCCCTTGTACTCATAGATTTATAACACTTGCGCTTATCAGCAGGTGACTCCCAGCAGCACTTATGAAATTCGTATATAAATGCTAGACTCGTGTCCAGTCTACACATCAGTTTTGAATCGACTACCGAACAGTTTAAGCAATGTATTCTCCCGTGAAACTTACGGCTCTTGCGCTGATTTTTGCTCAGTTGTTAGGCGCAATACATTGTGGAGTATACGATAATACAGATAATTGGGTCATATCCGACAAAACGAAGAATTTCCCCGAAAACGCTGTTCTCGGCGGCTTTGATCCGGAAGGCTATAGAAGTTTCGTGGGACGCGTCTTGTATCTCACCTCTGTTGTGCCAGCACGTATTAGAGCCGAGACTGCATATGTCACATTTAACACCGAATCAGTCGCTAATACTGCGACCTTCTACGAAGTACTGGTTTCCAATGCAACCCTCAGCTATCAGTGGGTGCACAGTTTTGATGGATTCATGGAGGATAATGCCGTCTGTGTTGGAACGAGCTCTTCCGACGAACGCGTTTATATCTGCCGGGCCAAAACTGACGGTGGATTGTTCATTGGCACATTGTATCTAGCACAAAGGACATGCATCATCGGTTACGAGAATTTGCCCCTGAGAAAGTTCGAAAAATACGAGGTGCTGGTTCGAAAACATAAATCGGTAAAGTGGATTCCATTCGATAATCAAATTAATTGATAAGATTGCCATATTAAATGCTTGAATGAGCTTCAATGAACATTAATCAATATATTGTTTTGTTTAATTTGTCTAAAGGTATTATAAATTGTCCTAAATTGGTATACAAATATAAATAAAGATAATTTAAATAAACGAATAAATACATCTATTCCAAATATGAATAAGGTTGATGCCATTTATTTTTTCAAATATATTTTTGGAAAACATTTTGCCATTTGTCTTTCAGTAAATGTGATTGAGTAGTCGAGAATTTGCATGAAAGAATAGAATGTGTAGTATTATTTTAAATATATTGTTCTTAGCAATCTGCAATTGTTCGGTGTCTAGAAATATTGGTTACTTGGGTTTCATTTAGAACTTACGATAATTGGTTAATAAAAGAGAATGAGATATTAATTATTTAATTGTTTTTGTCCACTGGCTTACTTAAGCTTTCAGTAGTATTTTATGTAGAAACTATACTCTTTTTATCATTTTATTCATTATACAATTCAAGCATAGTAATTATATTTATGGGAAACTTGAAATTACACTCAATTTCTGTTTCCTAACCCTAATCACTTTTAATTTCTGAAACATTTATAAAGACAACGAGTTACAAGTGAACTTTCAATGAAAATTAACACCCAAACTTGTTATACAATATCAGCATTTCGTACACCTTTGAGAAGGGTATTAAAATGTGGTATAAAAGTTTGTAACCTATTGAAGAAGGACTGTACATGCCCCATGAACTGCAGATCCTCAGAGGATGCGCTTTCTAAACAGTCTCAATGCATAATGATCGTTCTTTTTATGTGAAATTAATTTGTAGGCAATTTTACAACTGATTTAGTTAAATGTTGCATATTTTATATTTCAAATAACTTATAAAAATTAAAAATCAAACCATTCAAGTAGAATTTAATTTTATTATGAAAAACTAGAGTTAGACAAGTAAATCGGCATGTTAACTTAATTTTTAAGATGAGAGAAAAATACAACAAATGCTAAATCGATTGTCTTTTTCTACGGATGCATATGTTCTACCCTCGATAATTGCAAACAAATTGAGATCCTATCAGGTGAGAAGCACCCATGAAGTATTTTTAGTCAGAATGTCATCAGGGTACTCCCTATCGCAATAAATGAGTTTCGTAGATATGGACTATATATTGATAACCATTTAGTTATTAGTTATCAGTACTGCTTATCAGCGAAACGTGACACATCCTAAAGAAAAGCTTTGTGAAGTATCTTTACAAAATTTTGGAAATTTAATCAATACTTCCTTCAACAACTTAAAACCCCCTTGTACTCATAGATTTACAACACTTGCGCTTATCAGCAGGTGACTCCCAGCAACACTTATTAAATTCGTATATAAAAGGGAGACTCGTGTCCAGTCTACACATCAGTTTTGAATCGACTACCGAACAGTTTAAACAATGTATTCTCCCGTGCAATTTACGGCTCTTGCGCTGATTTTTGCCCAGTTGTTAGGCGCAATACATTGTGGAGTGTACGATAATACGGATAATTGGGTCTTATCCAGTAAGTCAAAGAGTTTCCCCGAGAACGCTGTTCTCGGCGGCTTTGATCCGGAAGGCTATAGAAGTTTCGTGGGACGCGTCCTGTATGCCGGCTCTGTTGTGCCAGCACGTATTAGAGCCGAGACTGCATATGTCACATTTAACACCGACTCAGTCGCTAATACAGCGACCTCCTACGAAGTACTGGTTTCCAATGAAACCCTCAGCTATCAGTGGGTGCGCAGCTTTGATGGATTCATGGAGGATAATGCCGTCTCTGTTGGAACGAGCTCTACCAACGAACGCGTTTATATCTGCCGGGCAAGAACCTACGACGCAGTGTTCATCGGTACCCTGTATCTAGCGCAAAGGAAATGTAACATCCGTTATGAGTCTATTCCCCCGAAAATGTACGAAAAATACGAGGTGCTGGTTCGAAAGCAAAAACCGGCAGATTGTGTACATTTCGATAATCAAATAAATTGATAAAATTGCGAGTGGGATTGCATATGAACATTAATAATCAGATTTATTTAAATTTATTATTTTATATGGAATAAAGGTAAAATGAAATGGAGGTCAAATGATATCTAATAATTTGAAACGCTATTCAATCTTTTAAACAATGAAGAAAAATCATTTCAATTGAAAAATGAGATGAGTATAGAAGAAAAGACAAAAGATTTATAAAGAGATTTTTATAAGCATGAGAAAACAGCTCTTTTTTACACTGTTATCAGAGTTGTTAGATTAGCTGCAAAGGAAACCGGAAATTAAAGTAGAAATTTATAAAACAAATCGATTTGCTGTATGACCTTAAGCCTGATGAAATCGGGCATAAGTCAAATTTATTCGACATGAAGTGTATTAATTAAATGTATAGAACTTAACGCCGATTCATTTTAAGCTTCAACTAGATGTGTATATGTTGAATGGGACTCTTACTACTAAACCTATTTTCTTATTAGGGTATTACATTTTCGATGTGTCCTTCTTGTCCTTTTGGCTACTGTTGAATTAAACTTAATTTGCACGTAGCGCGTGGGTTGCAGCTCGCTCCCGCTGTCGACTGCCAAACTGGTTGCCCTTTAATCACAGTTGGCGCAAATCAAACACAAACAAATGCCCATCATCATCATCATCATCCTAGGCAAAGGGGTAGTCGGAGTGGAGCTTTGGATTGGTTTGGTGCTGGTTTTCGTTTGTCTGTTGGGCAGCTGCAAAAACTGTTGCATACCATTGAGCGGCAGCATTGGATTGTCGCATGCCTAGCATACTTTTTAGCTGCGTGGCCAAGCGCATGAATAATTGATTTCCATTGCCAGAATGCTGCGCTCTATCTCACTCACTCTTTAGCTATTTTCGCATTGTCGCTATCCCTGTCTCTGCGACGACGTGTCGCATTCATTTGTCAGTAGAGTTCCTCGCCCATCGACTCAAAAATGAGCGACAGTTTATTTGTCTGTTTGTTTGTTTGTTGGCCGTTGTTGTTGTTGTTGTTGTTGGCTCGTCGTTGTGGTTGTTTATTTGTTTGTCGCTGTCGTCACATGCAACATATATTTTTGGCTCGGCCCTTGCATAATTCGCCAGTGTCCACCGGCCTCAGACTTAGCTCACCCACCCCGAGCGCTATTGTTTTTTCAGGCTGTCGCTTATCAGTTTATTTTTGTTCATACCATTTGCGTGCTACTGTCGCTGATCCGTCGCTACCGCCTACCCCATCCTCATCCACACACACATACACATATTATTGGCATATGTTTTGGACTGGTCGCGTGTTTGGCTTTAATCCCAGCCAACGCATTACGTTGCCATGGCTTCGATGTTCTGGCTTAACTCGAGCCCACAACATTTTTGCTCACTTATGGCTAACATTTTTGGTCGCTAGCAGGCAATTCAATCGCAGCTTATTTTCTATGCCAACCATTTACATTATAAACATTTTTATATACGGATGAAAACATACAAGCATATATTTATATATATATATATAAATGTTTATAATGCAAATGGTTGGCTTTTGCAGTGTGTTATTAATTCTATTCGTGCTGTCTATTTGAGTTGTAATTGCGCTGAATATATTTGTGTACAACTGTTATTTCTTGCCCTGCTCAATATTAACATCTACTTTTCCAAGCAGCTCATTTCGCAAAACCTGATTGCTGGCCGTATTTTAAATATACACCTTTCACGTTAACTTTTTAAAGTAAATTACAGTTTTCTTCAAACTAGCGAATAATACATGCAATGTTTGAGACTAACGTCATTAGAACCACACGCAACTATGTATGATTTTTTGCTAGATATAAATTTGGATTAAAAGTAAACTACATAGTTAGTTACATATTCGCTAAACATGTTAAGCTAAAAATTATCAGTGCCAATTCAATAATGGCAATTTAGTAGTTTTTTAACCAAAAGTATGACAAGAATTAAGAATTATATTTTATAAGCATTTATTTTTACAAATTCTACTGAAAACTATAAATTTGTGTATTGAAAGTATGATATAAAATGCAATTAAATATATTTTAGTTTCTTAATTGAATTTAGCAACAACAAATATTTTATAAAAATCCCTTAAGTCATTTAGTTTTTAATGTTTTTTTTTTTTAAATGTTTCTTATAAAATACTGATTACCACAATTGCACAAAATTCATGCCCAAAACCAGTCTCTCTAAAATAAGCTGTCTCTAAGGCGAATGTCACAATATTTCGAGCTTTTATCCTCTCCACATCTAAAAAAATAAATCTCCGACTATAGGATAACCAATCCTTATGGGCTTTCAATCTCAATTCACGTGCTTCTGTCAGTGACACGCAAGTTATCGGGACTGGTTCGTTTTGTGCTTCATATCACTGTAAGGACTACCAACTCACCGTTTTGACTATTCGTGATATATGCGCGGACAGTGTGTGTCTGATATCCTGGCGAGGAGTGCATGATGCTGTCCCTGAAATGACACGCCGGGCAGCAATAAATGTCAGACAGCAATTAAGCCAAGGTATGCGCATGGTACACAAGAGCAACCCCCTGACAGAAGTAGGGGTAGTGAAAAGGTCCCAAATGACGTCACAGTTTTGAGGGGTGCTTACATTTGTTTAGCTTTCCATGCATTCCAGTTACATTTCCAGTGAGCGGTAGTCATTGCTCTCTCAAATACTTTCCATTTGTTTTGGGATATTTTTTGTTGCGCTTTGGCGGCAAATCTTGTGGAGTTGGTCCAGTCCAGTCCATTGGGGTTTGCCTTTGCTTCTGGTTAGCTCTAATACTCGAGACGTTGTCAGGTGGGTATGTCAGTGTGTGTGGGTGTGTCAGTGTGTGTGTGGTAAGGGTAATGCGAAGAGTTGTGTGTGTGTGGCGTTGACTTAATGGAAACTGAAACACCAGTTGATTGCCTGGCGGTGTTGCATTTCAGCCTGGTCTGTTGCCATTGCCTTTTGGCAGCGAGTATATTGCATGTGGTTTCTGTGGCAAACACGACCGATACATAGAAAAGAGAGAGAGAGAGGTAGAGAGTGGCGCTTGTGAGCTTTTGCAAACGGTTTCTAGTTTCTTATGGCCAAGAGTTTTGACAAGCCAATATTAATGTGTAACTCCATACGAGAGCACTAGATGCAACATTCCGTTGCTGCACTTTTTCTATACCCTAAGTGTTAAATAGCGCACAACAAAGTTGTTGAAGTGTATGTAAAAGGCCGTATCCATTAAATATATACATATAGTATCTCCTTGTCGTGCACTTTAAAATAGAGCACCTTTTTTCTGCCTCCTGTTGTTTTGAGTTGCGTGTTAGTGTGAGTGTGTGTGTGTGTGCCACAGATGGAGGCAAAACGTAATTAACATGCGATTTTCCTTCTGCACTTCAAGGTGTCATAAATCAGTGCATTGTTTGGTCTATGACTGTGAAAAAGGGGTGTGCTCCCCCTAGTTAACTGCTTCAGCTGGATAAGGGCGTTTACTGCCGGTAAGCTCTTCATTAAAAAGCTCAATTTACCCTTGATTTCCTGGAAGCATTATTTTGGTAAACAGGAATCGTTCTCTTTGCCATGTCGAAGCTGTAACACCCTGGTTATTTTTGCAAAATCAAAATGATTGTCTTTTCACTAATCCGCAGCTCTTTAAACCATTTTTAATTATTCTTATTGTAATTTCATATTTTTCACTGTTCTCTCTAGTGTGAATTACTGAAACTTAACTTATCTTTATTTACGCAACTATCTTCTATATTTCTAATTTGCGAATTCTTGTGAAATCACTATTTTGAAATGTGACATTAAATTAAATAAATAAAGTCGTAAATTAAATAAGTATCTCTAATAAAGATTGGGTAAGCTCTTCATTAAAAAGCTCAATTTACCCTTGATTTCCTGGAAGCATTATATTGGTACCCAAGATTCATTCTCTTTGCCATGTCGAAGCTGTAACACCCTGGCTATTTTTGTAAAATCAAAATCAAATAATAAGCCCAGGTCGTATGGTATTTGAAATGATTGTCTTTTCTGTAATCCGCAGCACTTTAAATCACTAATTTGAAATGTGACATTAAATTAAATAAATAAAGTCGTAAATTAAGTGAGTATCTCTGATAAGGATTGTGACAATGCCGATAAGCAAATACAAAATTGACAGCCCTTCACACATAAATAGCACACTAATTGTGTGTGAGAGAAGGGGTGAATTGAATTATGATTAAGCAGGCTTAGGCTATGGCCACAAATCTGGTTAGAGCATAATGCAGTAAAAGGGCTTTAAATTCACGCGAGGAGGCCTTTAAATTGAATTGTGAGCAACAAACACATAAATACAAACAAACACTAAGCAAACACAGATAGAAACACTTCCGTCTGCAGCTTGCCATTTCCGTTTCCGGCGTGACGCGTGCGTGTATAATGAAAGCTCTGATTTTGATGGCCTGCCTAAAAAGAAAACGCAATACAAAAAGGAACAAAAATACACAATAATAAAAATGTCGCCTAGCTGGAACTTAAACGTGATTGTTGATACGTCAACAAGCTAGATAGTCTATCCAGGCAGCTCATCCGACTGCCCGCCTCCGCATAGGCCAAGGTTTTCTCTCACTTAAATTAAGGTATGAGATCAAAGACAACGAAGCATTAGGCCATCTAATTTTTACATAAATTAAATGGTCGAGACGTCAGCCAGTAAGTTGGTACTACACAAAAAAGTCTGTCACACTTCAAGCAGTTTAAAGTTGTCTTGATTGAAATGTTTCAGAGCCCTTATGGCATATTCATGCGGCTTGCAAGCCACAAAAACTTGGAGCGAGTATGTGAGAGAGATGTCAACGGGTAAGCCGGGTGTGTTGTGGTTTGACATATGGGTTCGACTTTTGCTTGACAGTTTTTTCTAGCTTCAATGTTTTCACCTTCGCATCTATCCCAGCAGCAGGCACCTGGTTTTGTGTGGGAATTTGCAACCATTTTGATCATGCATCGCAGCACACACAGCAAACGCTTATGACACATTTTACTCATGTGGTTAGGCAAGCACCAAGAGTCTGCGGCAAGGATTACGGGACCTCTTATGCGTATAATGCATATTAATCATTTTGGTTATGCGAAAGTAATTGCAAGGCAATTTTACAACTGATTTCGTTTTCATTTTGTATAATCTTTCACATTTTATATTTCAAATAACTTATTAAAGGCACTTTTGGAATGCCACAACTAATATATCAGATAAATAAGAAACAATAAGAAACTAGAGTCATACAAGTAAATCCTAGTTTAATTTTTAAGAGAAGCGAATAAATACAACTACGATGTCTTCATCTACCGACGCAAATATTTCACCCTCCATATTTCGAAAACAAATTTAAATCCGCTAAGATGAGAAACCCCCATGTGGTATTTTTTCAAGTCAAAATACCGGCATATTTTATTACATATTGTAGATAACCAATAAGTTAGTCAGAATTTAGATTTTTTGTACAATATTCAAAGCTTGTCATATAAATATTATTAATGCTTATCAGCTAAGCGTGACGTTTTGTAATGAGAAATCTAATCAATACTTCCTTCAAGGACCGAAAACCCCCTTGTACTCATAGATTTACAACACTTGCGCTTATCAGCAGGTGACTCCCAGCAACACTTATTAAATTCGTATATAAAAGGGAGACTCGTGTCCAGTCTACACATCAGTTTTGAATCGACTACCGAACAGTTTAAGCAATGTATTCTCCCGTGAAACTTACGGCTCTTGCGCTGATTTTTGCTCAGTTGTTAGGCGCAATACATTGTGGAGTATACGATAATACAGATAATTGGGTCATATCCGACAAAACGAAGAGTTTCCCCGAGAACGCTGTTCTCGGCGGCTTTGATCCGGCAGGCTATAGAAGTTTCGTGGGACGCACCATGTATTACACCTCTGTTGTGCCAGCACGTATTAGAGCCGAGACTGCATATGTCACATTTAACACCGACTCAGTCGCTAATACTGCGACCGCCTACGGAATACTAGTTTCCAATGCAACCCTCAGCTATCAGTGGGTGCGCAGTTTTGACGGATTCTGGGAGGATAATGCCGTATGTGTTGGAACGAGCTCTTCCGACGAACGCGTTTATATCTGCCGGGCAAGAACTGACGGTGGATTGTTAATTGGCACATTGTATCTAGCAAAAAGGACATGCATCATCGGTTACGAGAATTTGCCCCTGAGAAAGTTCGAAAAATACGAGGTGCTGGTTCGAAAACATAAATCGGTAAAGTGGATACCATTCGATAATCAAATTAATTGATAAGATTGCCTTATTAAATGCTTGAATGAGCTTCAATGAACATTAATCAACAGATTGTTTTGTTTAATTTGTCTAAAGGTATCATAAATTGTCCTAAATCGGTATACAAATATAAATAAAGATAATACTTACGATAATTGGTTAAAAAAGAGAATGAGATATTAATTATTTAATTGTTTTTGTCCACTGGCTTACTTAAACTTTCAATAGTATTTTATGTAGAAACTATTCTATTTTTATCATTTTATTTATTATACAATTCAAGCATAGTACAATATTTATACACTCAATTTCTGTTTCTTAAAGGTAATCACTTTTAATTTCTGAAACATTTATAAAGACATCGAGTTACAAGTGAACTTTCAATAAAAATTAACACCCAAACTTGTTATACAATATCAGCATTTCGTACACCTTTGAGAAGGGTATTAAAATGTGGTATAAAAGTTTGTAACCTATTGAAGAAGGACTGTCCATGCCCCATGAACTGCAGATCCGCAGAGGATGCGCTTTCTAAACAGTCTCAATGCATAATGATCATTCTTTTCATGTGAAATTAATTTGTAGGCAATTCTACAACTGATTTAGTTAAATGTTGCATATTTTATATTTCAAATAACTTATAAAAATTAAAAATCAAACCATTCAAGTAGAATTTAATTTTATTATGAAAAACTAGAGTTAGACAAGTAAATCGGCATGTTAACTTAATTTTTAAGATGAGAGAAAAATACAATAAATGCCAAATCGATTGTGCCATTGATGCCGATGTCTTTTTCTACGGATGCATATGTTCTACCCTCGATAATTGCAAGCAAATTGAGATCCTATCAGATTAGAAACACCCATGTAGTATTTTTTGTTAGAATGTCATCAGGGTACTCCCTATCACAATAAATTCAGTTTCGTAGATATGGACTATATATTGATAACCATTTAGTTATTAGTTATCAGTACTGCTTATCAGCGAAACGTGACACATTCTTAACAAAAGCTTAGTGAAGTATCTTTACAAAATTTTGGAAATCTAATCAATACTTCCTTCAAGGACCGAAAGCCCCCTTGTACTCATAGATTTATAACACTTGCGCTTATCAGCAGGTGACTCCCAGCAGCACTTATGAAATTCGTATATAAATGGGAGACTCGTGTCCAGTCTACACATCAGTTTTGAATCGACTACCGAACAGTTAAAACAATGTATTCTCCCGTGCAATTTACGGCTCTTGCGCTGATTTTTGCTCAGTTGTTAGGCGCAATACATTGTGGAGTGTACGATAATACGGATAATTGGGTCATTACCGACAAATCGAAGAGTTTCCCCGAAAACGCTGTTCTCGGCGGCTTTGATCCGGAAGGCTATAGAAGTTTCGTGGGACGCGTCTTTTATGTCACCTCTGTTGTGCCAGCACGTATTAGAGCCGAGACTGCATATGTCACATTTAACACCGAATCAGTCGCTAGTTCAGCGACCGCCTACGGAATACTAGTTTCCAATGCAACCCTCAGCTATCAGTGGGTGCGCAGTTTTGATGGATTCTTGGAAGATAATGCCGTATGTGTTGGAACGAGCTCTTCCGACGAACGCGTTTATATCTGTCGGGCCAAAACTGACGGTGGATTGTTCATTGGCACATTGTATCTATCACAAAGGACATGCATCATCGGTTACGAGAATTTGCCCCTGAGAAAGTTCGAAAAATACGAGGTGCTGGTTCGAAAACACAAATCGATAGAGTCGATACCATTCGATAATCAAATTAATTGATAAGATTGCCATATTAAATGCTTGAATGAGCTTCAATGAACATTAATCAATATATTGTTTTGTTTAATTTGTCTAAAGGTATTATAAATTGTCCTAAATTGGTATACAAATATAAATAAAGATAATTTAAATAAACGAATAAATACATCTATTCCAAATATGAATAAGGTTGATGCCATTTATTTTTTCAAATATATTTTTGGAAAACATTTTGCCATTTGTCTTTCAGTAAATGTGATTGAGTAATCGAGAATTTGCATGAAAGAATAGAATGTGTAGTATTATTTTAAATATATTGTTCTTAGCAATCTGCAATTGTTCGGTGTCTAGAAATATTGGTTACTTGGGTTTCATTTAGAACTTACGATAATTGGTTAATAAAAGAGAATGAGATATTAGTTATTTGATTGTTTTTGTCCACTGGCTTACTTA